CTCCTTCTGACAGCAGCTCCAGAGGGTGATGTCCTGCCTGCCCTGCACCCCTGGCTATCCTCTGCCTGACCTTCCCTGAATCACCCTTTGCCAAATGAGCACAGAGGCCATCCCTGCTCCCCTCACCCCACTAATCTGCTAAAGCAGCTGGGTAATTAATCATTTCCTAATGAGCTGTCACTAAGTGTACCACTGTCCTCCTGCGTTCATCCCTCTCCCAGCCACTCCTTCGTCAATTACAGAATATTTTGGGTTTATATGGCAGAAAATCAGGAACCTCCACACACCACTGGTAATGTTTGTCCTGGCCCTGAGGGCACCAATAGCCCGTAAGAGCTCTGCCATGGCCCACTGCCCCCCAGGGCTCTCAGTCCCTGCCCCAGCGATCCTATGGGATGCAAATCCCCCCTGCCTGSCTGTTGGCCCCACAGACTCTCTCCCTGCACAAGTGCTGCAAGGAATGAGCTGGGCTGTGAGTGACCATGAAGGTGTCAGAGAAAGAACAGGCTCCTACTGTGCTGCAGAGCTCAGTTCCTCTGATGGTCACTGGGTAGCAGCACAAAGAACAGAATTTCAGCTTTACCTCCCTTGTTCAGGCAACAGMTGTGACCAAGAGCAGGGCAGAGAGCCAAGCAAATAACAAGGCTTYGGTAACAAGAGAAATCCAGCCTGCCTTTCTCTGATTGAAGAAGCCCTGCTGAGATAAATGCTCCAATCCATCTCTTCTCTGAAACAGGAGCTGAAAAGTGGGTCAGATCCTGCTGCTGGCAGCGCTGCATTTKGGGAGGTCTCTGCTAGGAGCTGACGAACGACTGGAGTCTCAGAAAAAAATCAACTTTGTTTCTCCCAACAGAGTTCACTGAAATCATGSTCTCTGCAGGGAGGATGGTGGTGGACAGGCAGGAGGGGTGGGAGGCAGTGGAGGGAGGCAGCACATTTAGAACCCCACAGCCAGCCCTGACCTGGCTGAACTCGGCTCCAAAGTCACCCTTGGCTGTCATTTGTGTCCTCGCATCACCTTTTTTTGGGTGCACCTTGTTCCCCGAGGTGTTGAGCTTTTTTCCTCTTCCGTCTTTAACAAGGAAGACAACATACACAAGGAAAGGCAAATAAGGTTCAACTCAAATGCCAAATGGGAAAGCGTAGAGATTTTTAAAACTGTTTGGTTTATATAAGAACTTATTGGAAAYTGGCACAAACAAGTGCCTATCTGCTCTGAGATACCAGGGCAGATGTGACAGAGTGGAAAAGCCTCTTCCCTGCCAAAGTATTTGCTGGAGATTTGATAACAAGGTGCCATTGTACAACAGTGGGTAAAGGTCCAGAGTCGAAAGGAGAAAGAGAAGAGGCCTCCAGGCAGTGCAGGGCTCTGCCTTTGTGGGTGCAGCTCCTCCACCAAACCTCCTGCCTGCAGCCAGCAGGTAGAGCTGGTTCCATTCAGAGGGAAGGCAGCAGTCAGCTCTCCACTGCTGTTTTCCTTCTCGGCAGTGACTGAGTCTCTTGTCCCTTCATTCCTCTTAGAGGGCTAGAGGCTCCTTCTAGCTTTTCCCTGCACTGCTGGGGAAAGCATTACATTCAGCACTCCAAAAGCAAGTTTATAATCTGAACCAAGATGTGAAACTTGAGTACAAGAGCTTCAATTTTTGATATTAGTACTGACAAGCTTTTGCTATTTCCTGTGAATTTTCATTCATCCCTGTCGTATTTCCCACTAGATACTGTGTGTTCTACAAATATTAATAGTGAATGCTTTACAAACACAGTTGGTTTGGAATCATGGCTATTGAATAAAATTTCAAATTGCRTCATTTCACTATAAATCCTAAACACATAAACCAGCCTGTGCCCCACCCTCAAAAGTGATTCTCTTATTTGTTTTGGTTCCAAAATGAGAAGCAGCTGTATTTCTGTATACAAGGAAGGATGGGAAAATCTAGGCTGCATTCTCATGTTCTCAAAACTCACCAGCCGTTTATGTCCCCTACCAAAGAAAACTCACCAAAAATTATTCAGACATGGAAAACACACCAAAGCAATAACTGCATCTTTACCCTGACATGGAAATGAGTTTCCCAAAGCCTCCCTTGCCCCCCAAGCATTTTTCAAATTCAAAATACAGTCAAAATCAATCCTTAATTACATGCAGGATATATCYGAAGTCGCACTMTCTTAAAAAGCAACCAACCTTAAAYGGCAATTTATCTTGATAGCCTTTACTAAGCTCAAATAAAATAAATSCTTTAACTGTGCCAATTGCATCTCAGTTCCTCTCTCCACTCCACGCTGCTATCAATTATTATTTCACATCAAGCTTTAAAGGGATACTGGCACCTTGAAGTTCCCTTTCGTTGCCCATATGCTTTTATTCTGCAATGCTTCACATTGCCTTCCCAGCAGCCTCCCCAGTGGTGGCCACGGGCCGTGGGTGCTTTCACTCATCACAGCCAGCCTGAAACCCAGTGCCTGAGTCAGCTCWCCTCATCTCCCCTCTCCCCTCCTGCTACCCTTTTCCAACAGAGTTGCTTTTAGCTCATTTATCTTCCTATTGGAGTGATATGTAATCAGAGCAGGAGTCCTGATGGGAAATACAAAGTGATTCTTTAGAGGGGYTGGCTTTGAAAGCCGCTCTGGGCACCGATCAAGCCAGTGTTACAGCTGCCCCTTTCATTTGCTTTGCCTTCTGCCCTGAGCTTGTCAGCACCAGACAAACTGGAAAAGCCTCTGGGATGTTCACAGGCCCATCTTGCTCTAGTGCTATCAGTAATATTTGTGTCAGTACAGGAGAGTCATTTGATGTGAGGTTAAGGACACAGACTGACTCCTCCACCCCTGGTACGGGGGACCCTGGTCTGGTGTTTSTGTAGCATCACAGAGATCAAAAGTCCCTATCCACTGGCTGGGAAAAGGTGGCACCTTTGCTGTAGTCAGAACCTCTACTCTCAACCAAAATAATGAATGCTTCCACTCATGCATCTCTAATGCTAGCACTGCCCAAAGACTGAAAAGAAAAAAAAAAAAAAAAATCACTTCTTCATTAACCTTCACTCCTTCATTAGGAAAGATAGAGCCACTCTAAGTCCTAATTAATGACAGCTGTACAGTAACACTGAAATTGGGTTTGCACTCCCCAAAGCACTTCAACTGCTGAGATCAGAGAGATGCCCCTTGGAACCACCAAGGCAAGGGAAAAAGTTCTGCCACACATCTTCCCACAAAATTCTTGWTAGTTATAATTAGTTTTCCACATCTGCTTGTATGTCCTCCTAAGGAATGTAATCATGTTATTAATCTTCTTCCTTTACAATAAAGACAACAAAAATAATTTATTCCTGAGTTTGGATCCTGAAAATACTGTTTTCCACACAGAAGAGGCCAAATAACAGAGTAACATGGAGATCTCCTGACATGAAGGCAGATGAAAAGCAGCAGAATTCCTCTACACACAAAACCAGCTGGTGGAAGTGCAAATACAAACCAGAAAGAGGGAGGAATGAAAGCAGCCAGTGGAATACCTACAGCAGAGCAGGCAAATGGAAACAGACCCCAGCATTAAAGCCCTTCTGCTTTGCTGAGTGAAATGAGCCCATCACCATCTGCTCTACAWCAGGGCAGGATGAACTGGGTCAGTCCAGCAGATGCCAGTGTCAGTCTCTTCCAAGACACACCATTACTGTGTTTAGTTTCAGAAATCAGTTTGCTTTTAAAAGAAAAAAGACCCAACCCTTCATTCTGTGTAATAGGCTAGAATCTAACAGCAGGAGGTGAAGAGCCATGGAGAGGTAACACTCATCAGCTTCACACTCATCATTCAACTAAAAGTTGAATTGTTTGGGTTCTGTGTTACCATTGGCACAAACTGAGGAAACCACAAACCAGGAACAGCATCAGCATGGGGGGAACCCACACACACACACTCCATCTCTGTAGGAACAGTCATTCTTGAAAATACAACTATGAAATGCAAGAAGATGTCCAAGTTGTGACTAAGATTTGACTTTGAGGTGCTTATTCCAGCCTTTCATATCTGTTGCAAAAACTAGTCAGGAAAAAGACCCTGAAGGCCAAAAACTCATATATAATTCCTTAAYGACTCAACTGCTAAAAGCAATTGCCTGCCAAATAAGATCCCCAAATTTGCTCTGATTTGTACAAGGCATTAGTTCACATTTGGTATTTGCAAGAGCTATATAAGATACTTCTTCATACAGCTCCAAAAAGGAGTGGAATCGTAGGAATGAGCACTCCAGTCCACGACAGTTACCAGTTCTTGTGACAGTGAGCTAGCACTMTGCATGATATAAAACAAAAACTTGACATTCCTCTAACTGCTTAATTTAAATTGAAGCAYTTAACAATGCCATATGTCAGTGAGATACTGATTCACAATTCTTTCAGTACAAAGACTCTTTTTTTCCATCAGTTTATCAGTTACTTCTCTCATAAGACAGAAATTAAACAAGCAGCTTCACATTACAGAGCTCGTCACTCAGAGACAAGGATCTGTTTATACTTACACTGATCATTAAAAACATGTTTTTACAACAAAAAATGGCAGTGAAGAYTTCAGACAAGCTGCTCTGAGGGGTTGGGGGATGATTCTTCACATGTGATTCAGTCCTGGAAGTTTGGAACAGTTTTTAGTGATTAAAATTTCACTAGTGTGCCTGCATGCACCCACATACTTCAGTATCATAAACACCAGGCAGATATAGAAAAGCAGCACCAGATAATGTGGTGGGATTAAGGTCAAAAAATGCAAAGTGAAATTTACTTTCTGCTGTCAGTACTACTATTTGCCTGTCTCATTTTTCCAGAATTCAGGTGAGAAACCTGTACATCACCTGCAAATCCCAGTGGGGATTACACGGCAAGGAACCACTTCTGTGCTTTGACCATGTGCTGAGAACTGGCACTACCAGGACAAGCAGCACACACAGTAAATTCTCCAAGGATACTGCAGACAGATTGCTCAGGTTAGCAGCTCTGGCACTGAAAGGAAACTCGTTCTGCTCAGAAAGAACACACAGGCATAACATATATACTTTATTTTTAAAAAGATGACTAAAAAAAAGCAGCAAATSTTGAGCAGAATGTAGGTAGAAATGTCTTTTGTAAACAGTTCTCTGAAGTACATATGCTGCAGGAACCCAAGTCAATCCTCCCTCACAAGGTAAGTTTTTTTTTTTTACAAGATTTAAATCACAATAAGTTCTGCCTCAAATTGACCTTCTCTGAAGTCTGAGTTGACAGCATGTGACATAAGCTTAGTATTGTCTCATTTATTAAAATTACTTCTTTTCAGAAATTATTACCCTGGAGTCTGCTTAATCCCCAGCATTATAYATCTGAGAATCTCCACAATCTGAAGAAAATTAAGAATGGGGCAAAAGGAGTAAGATAAAAATAGCCTGAAATATGAACTTGTAAAAATGGTAAGTTATGGGGGGAAAAAAGGAGCAGATACACGCGAAAGCAAGGTGCCTTTTATTCCTTTTCCCAAATTTATCTTTCCTCAGAGAATGGTAGCTTAGTCCTCCCTAAGGAAAGCTCCATGGAAAAAGGAGATAAATAAAACTCACAGGAACTCAATTCCCATTYCAGCCTCCTTTGATATATACCTTCTTCTTTACATTTATTTATGCCTATTGCCCTCAGTCATCCAGTCTCTAAAATGCATTTCCATCAAGCTTCTGTCTCTCCAGTCACCAGCATTYACAGTGGGGATGATTTTCTGTGGCTTCAACCACTGAACAAAACGCTTCATTTCCAGGTAACTGCTGTGTTCACTGTAAGGAATCCCTGAAAGGAAAACAAATCACAGCCATCTGTCAGTCTACTTAGCTGGAAGGCTTGGAAGAAGCTAAGAAATACTTTAGATTAAAGGAGTTTTTAAATTCCTATTTGGGWTCTAAAGTTTATAGCTAATGTACAACAATTCCCCCTACCAATTGCCATCTAGGAAAATTAGTTTGTATTAAGTCACCAAGTCATCAGTGCAAGCTAAGCAACTTCAGTGACCTTGTTAAAGGAATGTTAACCCATCAGTACAAACTGAGAGGAAAAATCCAGTCTCTCAGAAACAGGTAAGGCATGAAATCCCAGCTCTGGAACTGCRCTGCCACCAGCATCAGTAAGGCTGAGACTCCATCCTTTAAGTTTCTACCTGTATCAGACARAAGTCTTTATTTGCATAAGGAGGTCAGGTGCAAAATGTACGTAAAAATCTGCATTTATGGTGTTTTGGAATACTCATTTCACTGAGCTCTACTGAAGAGACCTGCTCAGTTTCTCAGTGAGCTATCAGAAAAAGCAACAGTTACAAAAATCAGTAAGAGTTTCCAGAATAAAAATAGGAAAAGCATCCACACAAAGTTAAATGCACTGAATCTTTGCCACTCTTATACCATATATAGTGATCTTTCCTCTTGTCTGAGGCTTGATATCCTCCAGAGAATGGCATGAATCAGAGTAGGTCCACCCTGTAGGTTTGAAAGCCAGAACTTGATCAAAATTCTCAGAAAACTTATTCAAGTGGTCGTGCAAGCCCTGTGGAAAAAAAATAGCATATACTTAATTCCATTAAATAGGTAATAAGACTAAAGTTTGGCTATTTCAGGATGAAGAGGCTTCTGACTACATTTCATTTTCATGGGCTGACATTTTTTAAGTATCACCTACCTTGAAATTATTAATGATAAATATTGACATTTGCARAACAACTTGTCCCTTAGGATCTCAATTCCTGCATTTGAATTAAGTATATATAAACAGCTATGCATTACAGATTAGAACACATAAGGAATAATCCCACCTTCTTATAAACCTTGCTCCACTAATCATTTATTCCCTCCTCTAAGCTGGAGGTTAGCAGCTGAGTGGAGATAGAAGACAGTGAAAGCCTGCTTCAGTGCAAAATCATCTGGTTAATTTGCWGTGCCACAGAGATCCTGACACCTGCTTATGCCCAGAAGCAACCAGAGTTAATTAGGCTACCCCCCAAAAAAACACAGAAAGCCAGTGCACGAGTTGAATATTGCTCTGAGCACTAAACTGTTTTACCACCTTTCCAAGACAGAATGGAAACCACCTCTCATCTATTCACTCTGAAAAGAAAATTACCTTGAAACAGTTTTCAAGTATAAGGAATGTGCAATCTTATTCCTGGATAAAGTGAAATCCATATTGCTTCAAGCTAAAAATAGAAAATCAATTTCATGTGTCCTGTATAAAATCTTTAAGGCATATTYCTAATTTGAAAGTCCTACAAGGTTACAGAACTCAAAATCTTAAACTTTATATTAGCAGGAGAGAGGGGAATACCAAATAAAGACTGATTAAAAAAGGAGGGCAGAGGGGGATAAATGGGCTGTGACAGAACATTAACCAACCTGTCAGACACTTGAAAACTATAAAACAGGGCAGCAGAAAGCTGCCTGTGAGACTGCCACATTYAACAACACCTTCAGTACAATGTCCAGTGGGAACACAGAATCCATCAAATCAGGTGCCTAGAAGAATGACAAAAAACCTACCACAACTCCCCTTTCATTCAGCAACAGGAATTATGGCTCACTGCTGTGACTCTGAATACACTCTGAATGTTAAGTCATCTCTTGATTAAAGGTAAAACTTTAGCAGTCTAMTTCTCCTTCACACTTCATTTTGGGAGGATTAATATAGATTAAGGTAATTATTCACATATTTGTTCCCATTGCTCTAATGAAATCTAAATACCTCAAATGCAATGATCATTAGATTAACAACGCTAGTCTGCTTTTGAATTCTGTTATAAATCAAGTGTGCAACATTCACATTAAGGATGCAATTTCAGTCTTAGAAAAAAATTATTTGTGCATTTAAATCACAAGCACTTCTGAAAGTCTCACCTCAATGCCAGAACAAGACCTTGCTCAGTTAAACAATATGAAGGAGATTCATAGACTCACAGAGCCCAGTTCCCTAGAAATTTTCCACTGCATAGTCATGTGGCAAAAGCCTAAATTTTTWGAGCTACAAAAAATTGTTTGTTGCAAAAGAACTAAGAATGCATTTTGGAAAAGATGGTCTCTTTCCCCAAAACAAATTACTACAGTGTTTACTGTTTTACAAAACAAGTCCATTTTGAATACACACTCCAATTTCTTCGTTTATTGCTTTAGCCAACAGTGCTCTAAACCTTCACCCTTTTAAAATGGAAAATATATTTCACTGCTACACCAACCTCCTTCAATCACCATGACAGCCTGTTATTCAGAGTGTCGCTAAAGTCAGCGGTGTACACAAATAGATTCCATAAGGTAGGAAAAGACTCAAACATGATTAAATATTTAATTTACCACCAGCCCTAACACCACTTGAACTTATCTGGCTTATTCAAGAACAGCCATTTGTCAGTACACACAGCAATCCCTGTATTTTACTGGGGTAAAACCAAATACTGAAGGACCACATCTCTGGTTTTTATTTTTTTTCAATATTTTCTTAATATATATAAAATCTGAAAGTACGATAAATGATCACATGAACTCATCTTTAAGCATTTAACATTCTCCACATTTTACTGACAATACATTCCACCCAGGAATTYATGTAGCTGCTGGCTTCATTGGAAGCTTGGCACCCTGCAAGTCTCCCCAGCTTTCATGGACACAACACTACTGACGATGGCAGGAGACCACACTCAACTTCACCTCTGAGCTCACAGCCCCAGCACAGAGGGCCCTGTGTCAGACCAGGACTCTCACCCACTAAATCACTGTCCCTTTGATCTTTCCTGGCCCTTTTCAGGGCTGTAGAATTGTCTAGAACCTCCTGATCTCAGAGGTGACACCCTGCATGACACAACTGCCTCTCTCAGGAAGTAAAGCTGTCCTTGAGGGTACAATCACACCCTGAAAGTCCAGCAATTTGAGTATCCATGCATGCTGGGACAGGTGACTTAGCAACCCAGAAATCTGCGGAAAAAACTAAAATAAGTTACTGTTCAAGACAACTAAACCCATTAAAAATAAATCCATACACATTTCCATTACTCATTTTCTGCTCCTCTGAGGAAACATCACCRAACAAAGTTAAAGCATTAAGATACTAAGTTCCATCTCCTGAACCTCCATCCAAATCATGTAGCCTTTTTTTACTCCTTTTTAGGTCAACTTTGACCTTGACTACTCCTGCAGATAAATACCATCTTGCCCTGAAGGATTTGYTTGAGATGGCACAGCAGGCCTGAAGCAAAACAGGAAAATGAATCCAAGTCTGTGAGGCATAAACAACCACTGCTTTYCTCTTTCTTCCAGGTTACCTTTAATCTAGAGCCTGCTGCTTTACCTTACTGCCCTTCAGTATTTTGCAGTTTATTTCAAATAACCTAGGAATTCCTAACTAAGAAATTCACAGAAAAAATGCTCAACAACAAAAACTCAGTGTCTCAAATCTCAACCAAATGTGCATTTGAAATCAAATTAGATTAGATGAAAYAATATTCTAAAATTAACTGGTTTATGTGGTTTTGCTACAAATATTGGAGAAGATTGTGTGTGGAAAAAATAAAGCATGTGTATATGTGTATATGTGTATATATGAGGTGTCCTACAGCTCCTCAATGCATGTATTGGTTTATGTGCAAGTTTTCACTGATTTTCAGGTAACCTCATTCTCAGTGTAAATCATCAGCACAGAGAGTGAGTATTCTTTCAAAAGAGGAAAATAYAGTTATAAATACATGGCAATTGAACTGAGAAGAAAAGAGAACCCTATTCCTTTTTTTTATTAGACACCTGACTGGCCCTGTTCATAGGCTGCCTCAAAACACAGGCTCACACACAGAAAATCCTTTTAGTCTTCCTGCATTGGACCAGGTAAAACAGGCTGGAAACAGGGACTCCATGTCCCAATATATTAATTGCTAATAGGACAGATCAGGCAATCATTACATAAATCTACATCAAAAAGGCCTGCAAAGAGCAGGTCTTTGAACAAGCCTCGCCTTATCTTGTACAAGGCACCACATCATGTTTGGAGAAGTTAYTAATGTTTAATTGCATTTCATTTTCAATGTATTGCTACATGTCAAATCTCCACTAAATAAATATGATCTGACAGGAGGTGAAAAAGCAGCAAACACAGCACTGTTTGGGAGAAGCCAAGAGAATTTTAGTAGCAGGTTAATCAACAGAGTCCATTTTCAGTCCTTACCTTAAAATTAATTTGCATCATTGGAAGAACATGAAGCAAAGTCCCCTTCCAGTCCACACTGATGAGGGAATTAACAGCTGCTGACTCCAAGCACTGCAGTGTTTTRTACTTGTCTCGGGACATACTTGCTTTTGAGCCCAGAACTTCAGCAATTGCTTCAGGATTCATTAGGAAGAAAACAGATAAAGAAAATTATAAGAAGAGTTATTTTTCTGGCTTGTTTTAGAGTCCTGATTATTGTACTAGAGTATTTTTACTATTAGAAAAAAAAAATCCATATTCAACAGGACAGAGTGTATTGTATTCTAAAATCAAGAAGTGAAACTTACCTTTATGATTTAGGAAAATACATAATATAAATCTGGAGGGAAAAACTCAAAATAGAACTCTAACAATAACACCCTTTGCTTTTTCTTGATGACATGAAATTATTAACAATAAAAATGTCATAAAAACCTCATTTATTTATTTTTTAATTGCCTTTAACAATTTTCTCACCCCAATCAATTAAATAGGTTCATACATTTAGTATCCAAACTGACCAGCTGGATATTCAGTGTAGGGGGGAGTTATAAACATGGCAGAACACTGTTTCTTTCAGAAGGTTAAAAYTTCTTGATTACAAAACTAAAAAAAATAGCAGGAGGATTATTAAATATATTTCTTTACACAATATCTGAACATTCAGATTAAATAAACTTCTGTATCATCAAGACAGCCATCTTGCAACACTAAATTAGATATTAATTTAGTCATTTGATCCAGTACACTTCTTTTACATACCTAAGAAAACCTTTTCTTTTCCAATGGAGTAAGTGCCACAGACAACWAGAGTTCGTGGGTTTAAAGTCACTGTCTCAAAAGCAATGTTGACAGCAAACTGGATAACCTCTTGTTGGGGAGGAAAAGTGTACTCAGGGCTACAGTATCTAGGGCATGGAAACAAAAGACACCACTTTGTTACAAAAGATAAAAGACATCTGAAATTACCAAGAAAGCCCTCAAAACTGCATGTGCACAGTAAGTGGAAAAGACATTATTCTTCTATGTAATTTCAGTCTATTAGAAGCACTGAGGTGCCCAGATGAAATGGTGACAACAAAAATTACATTGAGCATATTGATGTTTTCTCTATAACTATTCAGTCTCTGACACTGAATTCTACATTTTCTCCTTCATAAATACCAAATGGTCTTTCAAGCTAGATATTTGTATTGCATCCTAATTATATCCTTATGTCTATTTTTTGTCATACACACAAACCATAATATAAGGCATTACTCATTCACAGAAACATATGGAACAGAAATAAAAGTCTGCAGCTGGGCATTAGTCATCATTCACAGAAAAACAATTTTATACACATGACTCAGAGAAAGGTCTAATGAAAATCCCCAAAATTGATTCAACCATTTGGCATTCTTTCACCTTTGAATTCCTCCACACCTCTTTTCGTAACAGAGTTGAATCCACTGAAAACCAGTGTTCCATAAACCTCTTGTTTTAGAGCTGAACACTTAATGTATGAGTTCTCACACCCAGAATTTAATACCACTTATAAATAATATGATGATTTGAGCAAATACTTCAGCACCTTTTTCACCAGCCACTTTCAATCCCTCATGTAATAGCATAACCAGTGAACAAGGTWCACATGAATGGACTTTCAATAAAAGTGCTTTTATTCAACACTAAACASAGCTAACAAGTGTTATCACAGTAATATAATTTATACTTGCATTTATTTGGTTCATACAAAGTATTATTAACCTGAAAAGAGTAAGAGTAAATTGAAAGAATAATTCAATTTCAAGACAACTCACGTGGTATCGAGGTAAAGGGTGTGGACTTGCTGACGCATCAGAGCAGGGTGGCGCTCCATGGAAGGATCTGCCCTGAAGTCCCCCGTGTGCAGAATAACAGTCCCACTTGGGAGGTAGAAAAGGATCATTGTGGCACCTGGACAACTGAAACAAACAAAAAAAACCCACACAAAATTATGTCAACTCCATATASTGGTAACCCGCCTTAAGAGACACACAAACCTTCAGCAGCAGGAAGGTGTTCRGAATAGCATCTTAAATCACAGACACCATGCAAAACAATTTAGATGGAAAAGCCTGATTTCTAAAGGAATTCAGCAGCTAATCCCATGGCTATATACAAACTTGACAGTTGTTCTCACCTAAGATGAAATGAAGAAACTAAAAAAAAAAAAAAACATCAACAGCAGAGCAATCAAGCATTAACTGCCTTTTAGGGGTGCCCCACCTTGTAATCACAACAAAGAAGCTGCCCCAGTTGTAATCTCTGAGGTTCTAKCACTTGGATCAAAGGGAAAACAGCACACCAAAGAGAAGCAGCAWTCTTGTTCAGGAGAAACAGAATTGTATTGCTGCAGATTTCTCTTCCTTCCTTCCTTCTCTCTTTACTTCCTGAGACAAGTACAAATGCAGGACTTACTGGAGCATTTTCTTTTAAATTCTATTTGCATAATCCTCTATCCACAATTCCCTAGTTATAAATACAACTCCCTTTCTGGTGACAGTGAATCCATCTTTCCTTCCGCAGTTGCTTGCCAAAGCTTTCTGAAGGGCAAGAACTCAGACTGGAAACCCTGGGTGGGACTATTTTAGATACCAGTCATCTGCAAAGGGTAAGTGAAATCTCAAAAAAGGAAAATTTGGCATGAATCAAAGCTAAAATGACAGAATTGGTGAACTCTTCAAGAAGTTGAACTTTGTACCTAAGGAAKGTATGGCTTTTAAATTGGAGCAGAGAATCAGAGATACAAATTACATAAGCAACAAGGCTTCTTTCATTCCTAGCGAGCATTGTCAGAGGACTTCATGGAGTTTTATCTCTCCAAATTTTAACAAATCCTGCACTAAGTAATATTCAAACAGCTGTGACACAGTCCTGCATTTCAATATATGTACTGCAGGGAAGGACTCTTTCTCTGGCCATGGCCAGGTAAGATACCAARAGGCAGAACAGCAAGAGCACAGGGGTGCTGGAATAAAGGCACGACAGAACTTTAAATCCAGCATTACTACATGGTGCCAGTGTAACAGACAAAAATCTCACCCTAAATCACTGAACCCAGTAGAAGTCTTGCCTGAATTTCARCAGCCTCTTCTTTAACAGGTGATTTTCAAAATGTTGGCTAGGTTATGTCCCTCATGGGATCCAAAGTACCATATTTTTCTTTAGCTCCGGATTTCCATAACAACTGAAGTTACAGAAAGCTAGTGTATCTGATAATCAAATCTACTATGTCCCCACCAAAAACCAGGAATTATCCAGACCACTAAAAAAGTCACTCAACTTCTCCACAAGCATAAAAGTTAATAGAGCTATATGTGGTTAACACAACATACTCCAAAGAAAATTAAACTAGAATTCAAAAAAGTCTGTTTCACTTTTGAAGATAACTCACTTATTTCAAAAGCTAACTACTTGCAAGAAATTTTCCACAAGAAATGCAGTGATACTTACTGATTGGCATCGAGCAGCAGCACTTTGATCCCATTGACCACACATTCCGTGTCCATTGGCAGCACGTGGACATACTGCTCCTGCACTCGGAGTTTGCTCTTCACCAGATTCCCAGTTATCTGGAACACAGAAAGGATTTAAAATAGSAACAAAATCTAAAAGAAGTATTTGTTTATTTTAGAAACAAAAACTCTCAAAGCCAGACCATCTGGCTTAGAGAGAAGCTATAAAGTCCTGGGCACAATCAAGWCTTTCAGTAGCATTTCACTTCTTAAAAAGCAAACTAAGAAAAGCTGTCTTAAGAAAGCAAACTTTTAAAACCCTGTCAACAGGCTACAGATTAGAACCAGAAAGGTGGCAAACAAGGGGGAAGAAGATCTGTTGCAAACTATCAAGTCAAAAAGAAGAGGTGGGTAAAGCCTTCTTTAAACAACTAAAGAAGTTTCCAGGTAGCAGGRCCCTGGATCTTATCATGGAGGACTGCAGTCATTCCAAGTGCAGGGCAACACAGGACACAAGCATTCCARGGAACTTTCAGAATGAATCATTAATAGTGTTTTTGATGCAAGGTCTGGATTGTTGATTAGGCAAGGTGCCTATACTGTTACAAGTAAAGAAGGGCTGATTGGACATAGGACAGCTAATGGCACTTTGAAGTTAGGCCCACATTGATCTCCTGCACAATCTATGTGACCTCTAGAGATCCTTCTTAAACCTGATTTTTTTCATGGTATCTAAACAGAAACAGAAGTTTCACTAATCCTCTTCATCAGTCAAATCAGGGTAAGGATTTCTCAAAWGCAAAATGCACATTCCCCTGTACATACCCACTGTCCCAACAATGGACCACTGATCTTCTATTTACTTCCATTGATACAAAAGTGATTACAGCTGCATTTGGACTTGCTAATATCTAGCAGTGTTGAAAAACCTTACCTTATTACAGTAGATTGGAAGCCTGGAGTTTTTTGTTAGTCCACAAAAGTGATCAGAGTGAAAATGAGTWAGGAAATAAGCTGTACAGCCTTCAATTTCTCCATACCGGAAGGCATCAACTGTAAAGCCAGTTCCTGCAGCAAAAAAGGGGAAGCCAGTCATTGAACATGCAAAGTTTCTCATTAAATGTTGGYTTTGTTTTCTTTCTTTCTCCTTTCTCAGTTAAAAGGTACTACTTACTCAGCATAAAGCTGAAGGAGCCATTTTAAGATTGACATGTTTTGTGTATCAGTCAACAGTTGCAAAAAGAGATTTTCACTTATTTTAATAAAAATTTCAGAAAGTGTTCACACACAAATACTTTCAAAGGCCTCCCAAATGTTGTTCAGCAGCCATCCTACACAGATAGCAACTGGTTAAGCAAATAAGATGCAATTATCTGCATTCAACCTATATTTTTGAAAGTTCACATAGACTGAAACCTTACAGTAATRTCTTAGCACAAAATAAAACAGGTAACTGCAGCTTAACAAAACTCCAATTCTTCAATCATTCTAAATTTAATATTCCTCTTAAAGCATGCAATAATTCTTAAGGAAGCAATCTGGGGTTTCAACTATATCTGCTGAGATAAATGTGCCTGATTTGCCATCATATGCTTTCAGTGTTTGTATAAAAATATTGCATAAAGACAGCTGTATAGAGGATAAACCTTTCCCTGCAAATACTTCTTTTAAATGCAAGGATGCTGATAAATTTTACATTGGGTTATACTTCCTAAAACCACAAAATAGTGTACAGAACTAAATCAGCTGGTGGCACTCAAATATTTTTCATTTTATGTTACACRAATTCCCCAGATCTTCTAGAACTAGAAATACTTCCACTTACTTGAGGCYAGAACTTCAAGTCAAAAAAAACTTAGCAGTCTCATCTAAGTAAAAATCCCTAACYAAAAAATCCTCAAATGTTTGAGAGGTACCAGACTCAAAACCAACTTTAGTGCTGTGTGCATCTGCAGCCTAAGTTGCTGAACCAYCATCCTTTAATTTATCTAGCTGCTYTAGGAGATYCAGAGAAATYCTTGGCTGCTTCATTAACTAAACTCTTCTACTAGGTTTTATTTCTTTGTTTTCATAGTTACACTAAATTGTATTTCTAATGCTATTGAATTTCAAATGCAAAATTAAACTCAATTCTTTTAACTTAGTGTTAAGGAAATGATTGTTATTAACTGCTCTCTTTTCAGGCACAACTGATGCAAAAAATACATTCAGGAATTAGGAGTGCATATTAACCAGGGACATATGAAAAATAATTTAAGAAGATTATCAAGAGTAAAAATACTAAAGCCTAAAATTAGGACAAAAACACAATACTCCAGCCAAAATCAATTAACTTCTACAAAAAACAAGTTACCTCTCACCTGGTATTTTCTTGTAGAAAGGACAGTGTTTTTTCCTTGGTTCTTCACCTGTAGAAGGCAATTCTTTAAATTTTTTTCTCCACCTTCGTTGGCCACCAGAAGGCACATCTGCAATGGCTCCATTTTTACTTGAGCTTTCTGTAACTGCTTCTGCATCTTCCACAGACCCCTCAGCTTTCCTTTTTTGCTGTCTGGGCCTCTTTCCATTAGGAGATACCGAACTTGGTATCTGCTTTTTCTCACTCAAACTTGCCTCTCCTTTGCTTTGCTCCTTTACTTTGGGTTTTAACCCAAAGAAAACACCAATGTCCATTTGTTTGAGTTCTTTGGCAGGACTGGATTTGATGTTCTTAGTTGCTGATGAAAGAGAGGGCACTGATTTAGAAGAGCTGGGGCTGGGAAAGCACACAGCAGCTGTGCTAAGATTTCCTTTTTTCTCCACTGCTGTCTGCAAATTCTCCTGGTGAACTGTTTTTTCAATTGCACTGGCAGATATTTTATCTCTATTAGTTAAATTGTTACTTGGCTCCCTCAAAACATTACTCTTCTGTGTCAGAAGAGAGCCAGCATCTTTTCTGGCTAGCAGAGATGATGTCTCAGTAAAACTCACATATGCAGTGTCCAGAGCATCTTCTGAGTCTGTGGTTCCTGAGGAAATCAGTTCTGGCTGTTCAGCCTCCTTGTTATTTGAAGCAACAGAGGATCCACTGGCTACCATGCCTTGCTGARGATCTGCATGGTTCAATGTATTTACTTCCTCACAGAGGTCTTTTTTAAATATAAAATTTCCTATTTCCCTATGCTCACACTGAGGCTTCCTTTGTGAGGTAAGTCCATCAAATGTTTTAAATGCCATGGAATTAGTGTCTTCTTCTTCTGAGTTYAGCACTTTCAATAATATATTCTGTGGTAGTTCTACTTTCTCCTCCTCTTCCTCAGTTCCCTCTTCACTTTCCTCAAATGTACTCAGTGGAGAATAAGAAATTTCACAGTCATTGAAATCTACTTGTGACTGTAGCAGACTTGGCTGACTTGTACCTTTTTGAATACACAGATCTTTTCCTGTTTCACTTTCTTGAGAGGATGCAAAATCAAAAAATTCAAATTTACAACTATTATCTGCGGTCTGTGGAAGCTGAAGTGTCTGTTGAGGTTTCTGAACACCTGCAGAAAAGGAAGTACTTTCACTGATTATATTTAGAGACTTCATTTGCGGTGAGTTCTGTACCATAGATACACAGTCTTCATTTRGGACATGTTTTATGTCTTGAGATGGTTTCTCATTCTGTAAGGTCTCCTCTGCATGACCTGGGGAACAGCTGGGCTTTGCAGCAGTAGAACATGTCATCTTGACCTCCACAGTGTTTTCTGAAGAGTTTACAACATATTCTCCTGCCCTGTCTGCTGCCAGTAGAAAATGGCTGTAGCGCTTGTAGTGGGATGGGATGGTGGAGGTGCACAGCAAACCATCAGGACACTCTAWGGAAAGAGTCAAACAGAGGTGTAATGTTAATATCTTTGCAAGTAAAGTTGGCATAGTTAAAATCACATATGACACAACATTTAGGAGCTTTTTTCTTACAATTGCAGCTACTAGGAGACAAAAAGCACAAGTAAAAAGTAATTTTCAAGCTGCCAAGGCCTCCTGCTCTGAGCTGAGAAACTTGAAGCTTCCAGCCTAAAACTAAACAGGTGCTGCTCATACAGCACTATGAATTATACAGCCCATTAACAACAAGAATARTTGACCCTGTTTCAGTGCTGTACTCATGTAATCATACAGCTTCTGGTTTAGAGTTGTCTCACATTCAAGCAACCAGCTCAGAGAAATACCACCAGAAACTACCAGTACATTTCAAAATTAAGTAATAAACAAATAAACCAAATCTCAATTCCAAATCAACCTCAAAGTCYATTTCAAATTGTCTACCATTACACATTAAGAAGAAAAAAAAAAAGAAAAAAAAAGGATTATATATTTACTTATTTGAAGAACACATTCAGAAAATAAATCCATTGCTCTTTCTTCAGCCTTTTCCAGTAACAGTTTGCCAGCCTCCCTTTTCAGGCTTTTAAGGTGGATGCATAAATTAATCAGAAACACTTTTCACCTGTTAATTTCAGGAATGAGATGTTAAAACACCTGCCTTACATTAAAAGCATTGCTCTAATCAGCATAAAAGGACCTCTATTTCATTGTTGTGAAGAAGAAACTCAGAGAAAGTKATGTAAATATGAAGAGTGGCTGCATTATTTAAAAGTTTCCTGATTATATGCTTTCTGTTTTACAAAAGCTATGAAGTGTATAAAGGACATAAGTTTGACCTGAATTTGTTCAGTTATGGTATTTCCTCATGAAACTGGAATTTGGAATGTGTCAGTTTTATTCCTCTTGTACAGAACTCAAAACAAAACTGTTTTCTTATGATACAGGAATGTTGATATCCACTTCTCCATAAAATTTCTAAACCATAGTGGCCCACAAGTTAACATTTCAAGTAAATTGACATATTTCATCTTCCAAATGTCCACAGACAACTGGGCAAATCACACAGCAACATTAATACAGGATAATAAATTCTGCATCTAAGGAGAAAGAAATTTGATGTCGAAAGCAGCACCTTTGTGCCTGAAGGTTCTTTTCTGACACTGACTTATTAATTGTAACAGGTTTCAGTATTTCAAAAATGCACCTTCAGTTTGTTCAATGAAGTACTAAAACTTTATAACAATCATGATACTTTCTCAGTTTTGAGATTAGATTCTGAAACCAGATTTTCACATCAGATTTCCACATTCTTCACAAAGAAGCAAAAATTTCATACAAACATAGTACTGAACAGTAACATAATAAAACATGATAAAAATCATACAAACTACCATTCCGATTTTGAGCTGAATTTATAAAACAAGGTTTACAGCAACGTTTTGTGAGAAGTCTGTAACTTTTCTCTGAAGGTTTTTTTCTTACTCTAGTCATACCTTTTTCAATAGGTCCTGGAGTTTCCAAGCATTCATAGACGTGCCACTGAGGTGTCTGGACCAATAGCAAAGAGAAAGGCATCTGGCAATTGGGACAGTRTCCATCATAAACAGGCTTTGCATTTTGTGAGCCCTGTTCCACCAGGCTACTCACGCTTTCCTGGGAGTGCACACTACCATCATCTCCACATTGATCCACATCCTGATCCGGCTGTGAGCTCTGCTTGATTTTCTGAGGTGTATCAGTTTTTCCTACGGATTTCTTTTTCCTATTTCTCTTTCTTTTTGGCCTGCCCTTGCCATCACTTACTTCCTGCACAGGGGTAGAGATGTTCTGTGAATTACTCTGATGCTTTCGCTTCCTAATGGATTTRTACTCCCAAATGTCCTCTTCCAATAAAGCATCTTCAGACATGGCAACACATGAAATGTTCCCCTTTCTTTTAAGCAACAGTCCACAAACCTGCCTTTCCTCCCGCTAATATAGTTCCTCTTCCCTCCACTATTCACTGTCAGAAGAAAAGTGCCAGAAGCCCATGTTAAAGAAGAAACACTGGGCCACAAACCAAGCGGGAGTYCGTGATGGGACAGGAGCATGGTGGATCCTATCCCAAAAATAATTCAATGAGCGTCTCTTTGTAGATTTGCAGTTTCTCCTGATACGCAGGGCCCGAGTCTGCAAAGCCTTCCAGGGTGAACCATTTCTTCCAGCTTCCCCTCCTCGTAACACCACCCGGCCTCGGCGGGGGCAAGAAGATTTTAAAGATTCCTGCCCGAGCAGAAAGATTTTAAAACAAAACGAGGAAGAATTCAGCTACGGGATCGGTGCCGGGATGTCCCGGGATGCGGAGTGTCCCCTCCGAATGTCCTGTGATGCTCCWCCGGACTGTCACTGTGCTGCTCCCCGGTGTGTCTCAGTGCTCCCGWGTCTCCGGGATGCTCCCTGGGATGTCCCGGTGTCCCAGAATGTCCCGGGATTTTCCCTGGATGTCCCGGTGCCCAGAATGTCCCGGAATTTTCCCTGGGATGTCTTGGTGCCCCGAATGTCCCGGGATTTTCCCTGGATGTCCCGGGGTCCCGCCGGTACCGGGATTTTCCCTGGGATGTCCCGGTGCCCCGAATGTCCCGGGATTTTCCCTGGATGTCCCGGTGCCCCGAATGTCCCGGTATTTTCCCTGGATGTCCCGGTGTCCCCGAATGTCCCGGGATTTTCCCTGGATGTCCCGGGGTCCCGCCGGTACCGGGGTTGGCGGGCGGGCGCTTTCTCAGCCGTTCCCCGCCAAGGCCGCGCATTCGCTTTCGCAGTTTCGTTCCGCGGGTGTCGCTCAAATTCTCCGCTTCTCCCATAGTATCGCTCCCCGAAAAAAAATTAGAATACTACCGTTTAAGTTATTGAAGCCTGGTTTGTACTTTATCCCGGTGCTGGTCAATTTTTACATCTTACAGACATTAAAGCAGGCGGGGGGAAAGACGGGCTGTGCTGAATCTGCTGCGCGGGAATCTCCACCCTGGGCTCCCTTCGGGAATGTGCTGCTGTGGATACCAAGGATACGTAAAAACTGGGAATAAGTGAGGAGGTCCCGCTTTAAGACAGACGAGTTACTGCGTKTCTGTGCTTTGTGCTTTCTTTTCTTTGTTAATCGCGGTTTTCCGCCCTGGCGCCGCGGGCGGTGCCGAATGTGCGGCGSTGAAGCGCCAGGCCGGTAAACAGCGGCCGGGTGAGGCGATGGCGGCGGGCGGGCTGGCGGGGCTCCTGCCCGCCCAGACACAGCTCGAGTACGCGCTGCTCGACGCCGACACTGCCCAGGAGAAGGAGAACCTGGTCTACCAGTACCTGAAGAAAATGGACAGCCGCGAGCGGGACCTGACGGTGCCCGAGCTCGGCGGAGGTGGGTGGCGCGGCCCGGGCGGGGCCGGGGGTCTCCCCGGGAGAGGCGGCGCAGCCCCGGCTCTCCCCGTGTGGGGTTTGCCTGGAGGAGCCGCTGCCTGCGAGGGCCGGGCAGGGCTGTCCCTGTGTGCTGCTGTGTAAATGGCACTTGTAGTTACAGGAAGTGTCACTCCTAGAAGCGCCAGGAGAGAAGGGCAAGGAAAAAGAACTCCTTTAAACATGTTGTCCCCGGTACTGGCTGCAAAAACAGGTTCTGTAAAGCCTCTCTTCTAAATCTCTGACCACCTGTACCGTGCATTGATAKCTGTCGCCTCTGGTCATAGTGAGAACCTTGCTAACTTTCGCCTGCTTTTTCCCGAGTTCCCTTGGTTTCCCGGAGCATCCCTTAGGATGTTCCCTGACTCTCTCTTCCCATGACTTGCCCTCACTTGTCAATTTTCATGTCCGTGATAAACAAACTGTGCTGGAGAGATCACTCATTCTGCTTCGGTGGTTTGCCCCTTTCACACATTTCTGTACCTCTCCTTGTGCTAAGGGAGAGATCAAATGTTAAACCTTGTACGATCTTGCAAGTCCTGCTCAGGGTTTCTTTCCCCTTTGAGAGGCTCCCTGCAGCTGTGGGAACTCACATGATATTGCAAGACAGGGACCTCAGGAGGTGAATTTCAGGATTAAAATCACACACATGATGGGAATGAACTATGACTTTTAACCAGGGCAGCAAAGGGAATGGTCTCTCTGTCTGGATTKGGACCCCTGAATTGAATTTTAGCTTTTGCCATGAATATTTCTGTGGTCTTTCTTGCCTTCTCCTCTAAATAGAGTTCAAATAAGTAGCCAATATCTGTGATTTTATTACAAGTGAGAAGGGGAGAAATGCCATAAAACATATAAAATACTCCTTTCTTATGAAAAGTGAACAGCAAAATCCTTATACTGTGGTAATAATGCATATACTTTATAAATTAATCTCGTTGTTACTAAAGTTGAATGTGTATGCATCCATTTGTGCTTTCAAATATATGGAGGCAGAGTTCAGTCTTCCTCTTAGTGAAACATAAAACAAGCCTCCTGCTGACTTGAGTAGGAATAACTTCTGGGACAGTAAGATCTTATTTGCTGAAGCTGTCAGAGTGAAAGTTTTGAGGATTTTTAGTCACCCAACCTAGATTTTTTTTAAGGCCTTCAAAAAGTTAGTTCGGCTTTGCATTGTATCACAACTATCTTTCCCTATTATGATTTTCCGAAATTTTAAGAGATGGTAATGGCAGACCACATTCTAGGATATTTATTCCTTATCTTGATATCAGGTTCTAATGGGATCAGAGGACTGTCAGCAGTAAGAAAAGAATGTTTTCATGTCTCATGTGAAGTGGTTAAAATAAACAACCGGGAGTATTATTGTGTATATCTGAAAAAGTTAAATTTCCTCCCATGTGATAGAATTRATTTATACTTGTAATTTCAAACTTTGAAAATCAAGATCGAAGCTCCAAGCACAAAAATATTTCAATGATCTCTGAAATCAGTTCTTTACGACAGTATTGGAAAAAAATCATTAAGAATTGAACACTTTCTAACTTTTTGTAGCTTTTATATGAATTTTAAATAATTGATTGTTACCCAAATGACATTGTTGGGGCCTGAATAATGTAGATCATGTTTTAAAATGTATGAAATTTGTTCTGAGGCTTGCATGTTCTTTCAATTAAAAGGTGCCTATTTAAAGATATRAACTACACTTTGATATTACAAWAAATCTTGCTAATAATAATTATTTTCATTTACTAATGATGAGGAATTGTGAAATATAAGGATGAGTTGGGTAAATAMAAGACTTTTTGTTTGCTTTTCTGCYTGMATAGAAAGGGATGTCAAATTCTTTTAGAAGTTAAAAGTACCAGGAGCATTTTGTGGTGTTGGTGCCTTTCCATACCCTTCCCCTAACTAGCTGTCACTGTTCTCTGAATTCCAGATCTGCAATGGTTAAACACTGAAGGTCCTATTTCTCTTCACAAAGACCTTTGTGGAAAAGTTGTGGTGTTGGATTTCTTCACTTACTGCTGCATCAATTGCTTGCACCTGCTGCCTGACCTCCACGCCTTAGAGCACCAGTACTCTGATAAAGGTAAAAGTGCTTTGGCTGGCTTGGAATAGAATTTCCTGGCACTGGTGCMGGTGGAGTAGCTGAGTCACTTTGTTGCTGGTTACTAAACTGCTGGCAATATTTCAGGGGTGTCTAAAAATGTTTTCTAATCTTTTAAGTAGCCTAAAAAAGGTGRCGCTTTAGTTCCATCACATTTTTAAATGGGGTTAAATAAAGTATCTGTTGTGTCTGTGTAATTAGACAAACAGGATATGTGCTTAAAGCCCAAATCTGATATGTCTATAAACAGGGCACCTTTAAAAAAGCTACTCAAGAATGAAAGATAAAGGCTCAAAGTTAATACAAGTAGGTAACTCTSTACACTTGACTGAGGAACCWGCTCTGAGAAGAATRTAGTAAAGGTGGTAGAATGAATATAGACAGGTGGTAGGATAGGGTATAGATTACTTTTCTTTCCTATTGGAACTGAAATAGCAAAATATGTAAGCTTGTGGAGTTGTTTTTGGTATTGGCATCATGTTGTATACAATTAATARTCCTGTATTCTAGAGAGGGAATTAYGGACTCTAAAGTCACATCTGAAATGAGATCTGCCTGTCACTGACTGAATAAAAATGCAGGGTAATTTCTGTTTAGAATGCTGTGTCTTGTMATCATGATGTCTTGTCAGAGAYAAGCTGTAGTCTTATACAGAATGTGTCAGCTMCTCACTTATCTGAGWTATTTTAATAGAGTGAATAGTGAGATGAAGAAAGTGTTACTTTCTGTCCTAAARGTATTGTATTAAATACAATATATATGCAATAAATAACATCATAATGTTTGTCTGTTTCTCCATTGCTCTTTCTTTGATTCTAATTTTGGCAGTCTTTATTATCATGTGTTACCTTTTTCACTAGAGAAAGACATTGCACTATCTTTGAAATTTACTTTTTATAGGTTTATGTAGCATCTTTATTTATGTAGCTAGCATTATCTTCTCTGAAGATTCGAACTAACTTTTTTACCTTGGAAAGCTTAGATGTTTGCTTTGGACAAATCTGAGATGCAGTGTAATGTTTCAGATATTAGGAATTKTGTCTAATAAGGAATAACTTTCATGGCATTTTTTTGGGAGGGAGTCAGTTTTAAGTGGAAAGTGATTAACAAATGATAAGTGACGGTAGTGGATATCAGGCATGTTGGGAAGAAGGTCTAGATTGAGATTTTGGAAGGTTATATGGATCATAAAATTAGTAATACCTTTAAAGGGTAACTGGTTTATAGTATACTATGACTGCATTACTGTAGCTGTCATATCCTTATCTGTTTTTTAAGGCAAAGCTGTTAAATCAGCTGATAACAAAATATTCATTTTAACAACCTCTCTTYTCTAAAAGTGCTTGAACATCTCTGTAGGAGAGGCTGCAGCACTCTGAACTAAAGCTCCACTTGGAGACATATTTTTCCTTTGACTTGTGTTAAACTTCCTGTCACAGGAGCTACTACKTGAGGAAAATACTTTGCTCATGGGTAATAAGGGGTTTTTGTATTTAAACTGCCCCTGTAAGTTCTGTTTGGATTTGAGCTATCCTGTTCCTGCAGGAACTGGAGTGAGAAAAAAGATGCTTRGGCTGATAGTGGTGGTAAAAGGAACGAAGAGCAGGTGTATGGAGCATTAATGTTGAATTTAATCCATTAGTAAGCAGAGGATAGCAGTTGGATTCAGGAAGCAATTAAGGTGCTTGATGGTTCAAACAAAAAGAAAAATACATTGGGTTTTTTTTCATGATAGATCACCCTTTCAGTTATTTTCTGCTGTTTTCATGTTTTGATTGTCAGCCCTTTCCGGATTATATAATCCTTTTTGCTGTGCTAACTATGTAAATCTTAATATTACAATARTATGTGTAAATATATCAAGGCAGTAAGGGTTGTGGAATTTTAAGCCCTAGAAAAATACTTCAGGATTTGGTCTTATATCAGTGTGCATCTTCTTCACCGGAGGCAAACAGGATTTACTAATCACTAAGACAAAGAGACGGAGAGAGTTGTTGACTTGAGGAACTTGAACAAGATAAAAGTTGGAAGAACAAAACATATTACTTGGGCAAAGCATCTATCTCATAATGCATTTGGATTTTTAATCTCTTSCTTGAATACTTGAAGGTATATTGCCTATTTTTTCTTAGTTATAAGAACAAACCTCAATATTGATATAATTGATAGTACATTGTGTACATTCATACTCTGGTTGCTTTTTTTTGGACATGGTTCAAATGCCCTCTTACATGCAGCAGGTTGAAACTTCAGCTCTGTGATCACCAGACAGGAGAAGTTTAACATTACAGGAGGCTGTAATGTTAGGATGATCTTAAATCATTTCATATATCATAGCACATGGGCCATAGTTCTATTGTCTGGAGCTTCAGGAGATCTGTTTCAAAATGAGGACTGCTTTCCATAGGATTGAATGTCGCCCAGCATCTTTATCTGATATGTTCTCGCTGCTATCTTCAGTGGTGCTATTTCTGTGTTTTAAGTGGCATTCAGAAAGTTATTTTAAACCCCAGTGCATATTCAGTTCATGTTATCAGCAGTCCAGAAATTACTTCTATAAGAGGAAGTACTTTTTAATATTCAGAAATAGCTTGGCATAAATCCATCGTTGTGCTCTGCTGTAATCCTTCAAACAAAGTGTTTTAAATGGAGTGCATATTGTTGTTTCTCAGTGTGGCATCCATCATTTCCACAGGAATATACCTTGTGAGGGGATGTTTTACCTTACGTGTGTTACTCAGGTGTTTCCAGCTTCAATGRTTTTTTTGAAAGAAAAAGAAATCATGCTGGTGCTAATCCCTTTACTGTTAAAATATTTGACCTACTGTTTGAATTTCAGCAGTTATTGATAGTGCAACTTCAGCCATCTGATAGTGCAACATTCTGCTCCAACAGAGTTGATAAGATTCTATATGTCATATGGCTTTGTAACTTTTTTATTGTGAAATTGTTRCATTTCAGCTTTCCTTGTTTGTAATGAGTGTTATTTGTCATTTTTTCATAGTTGTCAGTGCCACCATTTTTATTTGAAATACAGAATACTGTATTGATTTCTGAGGCCTATGCATTATATCTTTTCCTGTTAATCTAGAGGTAGGTAGGTCCAGGTAATTCTGGAATTCCACACTTCGGTGTTATTTCTGTGGCTTCTAGCTAACTGTGAAAAAGAATTTTCTAAAACACTATAGTTGTGTATAGGAAGCAGAAGGCAAAGAGGCGTCCTAAGTGTCTTAAAAAAGCCCCRAAGTATAAGTTGAAACCCCGAACACAGTTGAACACAACTTACCCATAGTTATTTTGAAAGTATTTTCTAGCTTAGTATGTAGAGACTCAGGAACTAGGAGCAATTCATGTCAACCAGCTGAGGAAATAATGGTCCTAAAGTTTGGTAATTTTAYTCAAGTGTTATTTCTGAGTTTCAGTATTTTCTATACATGGTTATCTACATTCCTACTGAGATGTAATTGTTTTCTGTTTGTTTCAATCCTCTCTCATTCTAGGAAGCAGTCAGTCACATTATGAGATTATGTGGTTCATTTTTCCTGTGGCTTTTTTTTTATTCAAATATGCACAATTTCATTTGTTTCAATGCACAATTTCTTTTTTTTTTTGCAGATGGTCTTGTTATTGTTGGTGTCCATTCAGCAAAATTCCCGAATGAAAAGGTTCTGGATAACATTAAAAGTGCTGTTCTGAGATACAATATTGTCCACCCTGTAGTAAATGATGCAGATGCAACATTGTGGCATGAATTAGAAGTGTCCTGCTGGCCAACTCTGGTCATTCTTGGGCCTCGTGGAAATATGCTGTTTTCTCTTGTTGGAGAGGGACACAGAGAGAAATTGTTTTTATTTACTTCTATAACACTGAAATTCTACAAGGAAAGAGGACAAATCAAAGATAACAACATTGGAATAAAGCTCTACAGAGATTCCCTTCCACCTTCTCCTCTGCTRTTTCCTGGCAAAGTGACTGTAGATGATTCAGGAGAAAGGCTGGTCATAGCAGACACTGGACATCACAGGATTTTGGTTACTCGTAAAAATGGACAAATTCTACACAGTATTGGAGGTAAGGAGATATATATAAATATATGTGGAAGTTTATTATGATATTTTCAGTTTAGGAGTAGAGTATGTTTGCTGGGCTGTTTCTTTTCTTCGGGGACCTGGCAGTTTGTAAGCATTGCCAGAATTTTGTTTTKTATTAAAATTGCTTTTACTCTATTTGGAGGCATACGGTATAAGACCATCAGTGGGAGACTGTAAATGCAATTGTTGGAGATGCCTGATTGTTTTTTATTGCTTCATTGACTAAAGTTCATGTTTCCATGTGATATCCAATATGAATTACAAAAATRCATTTTGTGTTCCTCTGAAAGAGTTGCAAATGGTTTTAGATATTAAGGATATACATCCACATCAAGCAGCATGGTAAGGTCAAGAGACCTGCAATTCCAACAGAAGAAGTGAATGTTGAATTGTTGTGGTGATGTTGTATGGGGAGGATTTTGGTGTGTGTTTTTGATTTGGTTGTTGGATTTTTTTTTTATTGGATGAGTGTTCCTGTACAGGATCTTCTCTGGTTTCAAAAGCAGGGGAGAATTGCTAAGAACAATGACATTCCAATAAGTACACAGCACCTGAAAATGCATTTTCCTTATTAGTATATATAAAAAGACCAGTGTTCTCATCAAAACTGAAATGATAGTTGCATAAACAATTTATGAAAATAGTGTAAGTATTTTAAATCTAGTTATATTTATTATAAAGTTTATATTACTGACATTTCAGCTTTAGAAAACTAACATCCACAATTGCTTTTATGAAATAACAATCTGCTTTACAATGCAAATGAAGTCAATTTGTGCACTGTATTCTTTACTGTTTCATAAATTGAAACATTCAGCCTTGTTCTTTTTTTAATATCTGTTAAAATGGCCAAAGTTACATCTTAGTGCACAAGTACATAACTGTTAGGACAACCATAACAGACAGATTTCGGAAGTGGTTGAATCCCCACATTATTGAAAACAATGMTTTATGTCAAAGAATTAGGGCCTGTGTGCTGATGTGTCTTATATTACTTAGTCTGCGATTGACTAATGCCTGCCCCAGAGCAGGATCCCACAAAACACATAAAAGTACCAGTGACTGCTGTCTAAAGGAAGGAAGAAAAATTTGGTTGCTATTAGAAGTAACAGTGCATTGGCTATGCAGGCTATTTATCCAAGTTAACRATTTATCATTAAGGTGTTAGTCTAAATACCCTTCTCCTGTAGGATGTACAAACAGAATTTATCATGACAGAAGTGAGAAAATTTGGTTTCGTCTTGATATAGGGGATTAAGTCTCTGCCTACAAGCTACCCTTTAGTATTCTGGCATAGTCATTAAACAGGAATTCAGGAGTGTCCTAAACTCCAAACTGCTACCCTTCTTCCTGTGGCACTGTGTGCTGTTACCTTCCCTGAGGATATGCACCCTCGTGCTTATAAGGTGAACTGCTGGAATCTGACACACCAGTACTTCAGTCCTTTGTGTCTGATAAGGTCTAAATTGATTTCTGACAGTAGGTTCTAAAAGTTTGTGTATTTCRGTGACTCAGTTAAATGATTCATTGGGCAGAAAATAATGTAATGAAGTTGATAATGCAATAATAAATGTGGGCATGCACAAAGGTTGGAATTGTTATTTGCATCATAAATCATGATACACACATARCTCATACCTAAATGTCTTCTGCTGACACATCCTGCTAATGTACTTCAAATGCTGCCTCCTMTGAAATACAGTGCTTACCTTCACAGTTATGTTCCTTTCTGTTTCCTCACTGGTCTATGCAGAAGACTGTCACTCGATCATTCTTACTATTCTTTTGTGTAATTGGTTCCATATCATCTTTCTCCTAATTAGTTTTCTTAATGAGAAAACGTTGCTAGTCCAATATTAGTTTCATTTGTGATTACACCAAAATCTATAACAATGAAATRCAGTTGAACTTTGGAAATTAGCTTCCTGCTTCGATGTGGTTAAGAATTACAAAAAAAGCTGTAGTTTTTAATTTTTGTCATCCATTGTTGCTGTCGTCCTTTAGTGCAATTTAGAACTCCATTTATTAAGACGACTCTAGAGCAATTTAGAACCCTATTAAGACTTCTCTTTAAAATAYGAGCTTAAAAAAGCAGAGAACTTTTTCAGAGTGAGTTCAGAACTTAATAGCACCGGGCTATTTTAATTACATATCACAGTGACTAAAATGGGACTCCACAAAATAGTAATCATRTAAACTGTACAAGGTGCTGTGAAAGCAGCTCTTAGAAGATGTAATTTTCCTACAGGTTTAAATCTATGCACTTTATTTTTAGGGTGACTTTTTTCTAAAATTACTTTTGAGTTTGCTGTGTTTTATTTATAGGTCCAAACAGCGGAAGGAGAGATGGAGGATTTTCAGAGGCAGCTTTCAACTCRCCACAAGGGATTGCTATAAAAAATAATGTTATTTATGTAGCTGATACAGAAAATCACCTAATTAGAAAGGTAAATTTTCCATAAGGAAATTCAAAATTTAATTTCTTGTACTGTGTTCTGCTTACACAGGTGAAAATTTACACCACTTSAATTGCTCTCCAGATAACATCAGAAAGGAAATTTGGTTCACTRTCTTGTAAATAAATATTGTTGTGCCAGGTTTTTTTAAGGGCTGCATATACTTTAGTGCTTCCTTTCAAATGGAGATGAGATGGGCTACTTGTAGCATAAGAGGGCTTAGTTTTGTTTTGGRGTTTTTTTCCTAGTCACTCTTACTTTCCTGTTATGAGAAACGTTTATTCTTAGTACTGGAAGCATTTTGTTTCACTTCCAGTAGTATCAGATTGTTATCTAAAGTTATTGTAGTGCTATGGTGCAGTGAATATCCAAACTTCCGTTGGCTGTTTGAGTCTCTGAAATGCAGGTAATTGCCCTAATATCAGAATTGGCTGCATGGCTATTCTTTTTGATTAAAGACTTGCAAAGTTTCAGCATGTAGGAATTGGATCTTGCATTAGGCTAGGTCAAATTTAGGATTATAGAAGTCAARTGTGGTAATGCAATATGATATTGTCTTACTCTGTATATGTAAGATTCCCTTTTTTCATCATCATGATCGATGCATGGGAGGTGTTGGAAGTCACCTTGAAAATAAGCAAAAGGGTTAAGAAAAAATAAAGGTACTTAGGCTGCAGAAATTAAATAAAATAAAAATATATTTTGTGCTCTAGGGCATGAAACAAATTGGAAAAATAATTTGCCTTATACAGATCATTTTCTATGGAGATGGAAAATATTGTTACAGTATCTGAGGTTTTGTGTCATATAAATACCTATATAAATTTAAAATAAAACATCCACATCCACTGTTTAGCTATGTATTTGTGATGCTTTCTTCTACAGCTGTTGAGCAAATGTTGACAGAGCAGTGTTAATTTTTGTTTTCATGCAAAGGCATGGTTTTCATGCTGCCTCGTGCTTACTCCCCCACCCCAYACTCCCTGCCTATCAACAAGCATTGTGGTAAAATTAATTATTTTCTTACATAAACACATGCCCGATATTTGTTAGGATTTCTCTGTTTTTGACATCTATCTCAAATTATCTGTAACTTCAGTCAAGTTAATTTCATACATTSATTTAATGTGTCATTTCTCTTCACATAGATTGACCTGGACTTGCAGRTGGTGACCACTGTAGCAGGCATTGGGATACAAGGTGTTGATAAGGAAGGTGGAGCAAAAGGAGAAGAACAGCCTATCAGCTCTCCCTGGGATGTGGTCTTTGRAAGTTCAAGTACTGTATCAATTGAGCTTCAACATCTCATATTTACACATGTGTGACTGTTTGCTAAATGTTTTCCTGTTTTGGTATTAATCTGAGATAGAAAAGGTAAAGATTTACTACAAAACTGAGTCTAAAAAACAATAGTTTCAATTACAAATGATAACTGCAGTTCTTCTTTGACCTCKGAAATGTTACTTGATGGAAGAAAAATTCTTTTGTATCAAGTTACATAGTTGCTGGATCCAAACACTGAAGGAAATTATGATTGCTTTTGTTAGGCCATTGCTTTAAGCCAGGATCACTTAAGAAGCAGGTACATTTTTACAGGAAGTGAGCATTGTCTGGGAGTTCCTTTCCCTGACTATACAGATATGTCTGCCCACTTGTAAATATTTGAGTTTAGGAAATAAGAATAATTTTAATTGTTTATTCCTGTTTAGGTGACATAGAATCATTAGGCTCAAGATCATGGTAGAGTCAGTCAGATAGGAGAGGAATACCTCAGCACAAATCTTGCAAGCATCAGGAGGTAAAATAAATCTATGCATAACAGGATGCAAGAATCAGCTTCTGAGGACTTAAGTAGCTCTCTTTCCCGATTGACTTAACACACACCTGAGCCTGACATCTCATAACTGCCTTGTTTTTAGCTATCACTGACTGTGAGTTGAAACACGATTTCCTCATGTTTCCATTTCAATATCATGTAGAAGTTGCAGATACCAGTTTATTAATAATGACAGAACAGTGCTTTGATGTGGCATAAAACCTTTAGCATGGTATTTCAGACATGAATAATTGACTTCCAATATTTAATTTCTTTAATTTTTTTATTTATTTTATCTGGAGATGAATGGGGTGGGGAAGTAGCATGATTTGCCCCTAGTATCTAGAGGTGATTTGCAAGTTTAGTAAATTACAATACTTCCATGACATGGAAGCATTTGTTATAATCTTGTGTCAGTTATGAGGGAGGAGAACACARTCAAGTGTAAGGGGATGTAGAATGACAGAACAGTTTGCATTGGAAGGGACTTTAAAGACCATTTTTCCAATGCTTCTGCCTTGGGTAGGGACATCTTCTACTAGACCAGGTTACTCAAAGCCTCATCCAGCCTGGTCTTGAACAATTTCAGTGATGGGGCATCCACAACTTGTATGGGCAGCCTGTGCCAGTTCCTCACTATCCTCACAGTCAAGAATTTCTTCCTAATACCTAATGTAAATCTGCCCTCTGTCAATTTGAAGCCATTCCCCCTTGTCCCACCACTACATGCCCTTATCAAAAGTCCCTCTCCAGTTTTCTTTTTGCCTCTTTAGGTACTGGAAGGTGCTCTAAGGGCTCCCCAGAGTCTTCTTTTCTCCAGGCTGAGCAGGCCCAGCTCTCTCAGCCTGTCTTCATAGCAAAGGTGCTGCTCCAGTTCTGAGATCATCCTCATGGYTTCCTCTGGCCTTGGTTCAACAGGTCCATAAGCTGATTCAGAAATGCTGAAAGTGTAGAATCTTCTGGTACAAATACACTGTCAGTATGGAGAGAGTACCACCAGGAGCCTTGAGTACTTGAGTAAGCAACTGGGAYACATTTTTAGATGTAATGCTTCTATTAACATGTCTTGTACAAAAAAAAAAAAGTACCTTTTTTCAAAGGTTTGGTCAGCAACCTTCACAATCTGTGTTAAGCATATGGAATCCTACTTGAAATAGCCAGAAGGAACACCAGCAGAGAATCTCTCTTGGTGTGGGTTGCTACTAATGCAGGCATGAGTTTTACTGACTTTGGTGCAATCTGATTTTCCTTTTGGAAACCAGGAGACTTGTGTGGCTAGATGGTGTAGTTYTCAAGAGATCTTGAACCAGAAAGCTGATCTCTGTGGGATATTATTGCAGAGCTGTTTCACGGATCAACAAAGAGGAGACTAATAACTRATTAGGATTTCAGAAATTTGAGCTGGTTAACAGAACTATTCAAAGTATCCTATAATTTTACTTTTAATTTTTCATGATGCTTTCTTCTGCTTCTGTCAGTAGTTAAAYACATGATGATTTTTTTTAGTTTTGAGAGCTCTGCTTGTTAAATGTTAATTGATATGATAATTGTTATCAACATGAACATAGTATTTACTGAGTTAGTCACCTGTAGAGGATTAGTCATCTGTACTGTTCAACACTGACTGCTGAATTTTAATAAGTATTTGCATAGAAATTAGATCTTCTGAATGCGTTTTGTTCAGACCTGTGCAGATTTTTTTTTCATTTTCAATTAGAACCTACGAGTCAGTTGTCTGTTTAGATTGTTACAAACTATAATATAAACTGTCAATTAAGCTGAGATTAAATCAATTAAAATTCTTTTTTCCTTTTTTTTTAAGAGGTTAATAAGCCTAATAGATAAAATGGGGAAAAATATACATTACAGTGATAGCAGTAAAATCAAAAATTCTTTAGAAAACTATAACCAGAGAGAGTTGTAAAATGGAGACTTGTATTGAGTGGAATGTTAACAGGACTCTATCCCAGGGCATGAGGAACCAGGACTACAGTGCATTTGTGACAGGCATTTTTTACTGTCATAAGCTGCAGTGCAGCAGAGTTTGCCAAGATTGTATTGTTGAGTTGCAAACTGCTAAGCTGCAACTTGCTTGAGCATAGTGGGATCTTCTGTTACTCTACAGTGTAACATAGAGAGCATTTGTGCCTCGCAGAGTGCTGTCCTACAARTATATACCCTGTTGTCAGTATATCAAAATTGGTGTGCCAGTGTCTGTTTAGGCATTTGGATGGGTGAGGTAATTTATGAGAGTTTCAAAAATTACTTTTATTTGCATCCACATAGCTGTGTCCTATTTTTACAAATGCTTATGTCTGTGCAAGTTGCAGGAGGTAACATGCACTTCAAAAACTTAGGCTCATTATAACAAATTTTAAAAGTCTGACTTTTGTGTTAACTGGTGTTGCATATGGAAAATAACAWCATGCTTTCCCATTCTCCTTATGTAGCTTAAACTGTGTTCAAGAGGCATTTATTTTTCTTCTCAGAAGATAATTTACACTTGTTTTTTTTAAATATGGATTTTATACTTTTTAACAAATKATATTTCTGGGAGCTCCCTTTCAGTTTCCAAAGCCATGCTTTCCAGAACATGAAAGGGAGAAAAAGGAAGTTTAAGTGGGTTATGTAAGATAGTATTAAACAACTTATGCTGACCTTTTTCAAGGTCTCAAAGGGGAAAAATTGCCTCTTAAGAGAAAGTTTTTTCTCTATCATTGACATTGCTTGAGTTTACTCCTAAATACATTTCGGAATATGTATTTATCAAATGAAAGAATCCTTGTTTTATTTAAAACCTTAGTATATAGGTGGTTGAGAAATGGAAAATACTGAGAAAAACTWTGATGATGTGGATAAATTAATATTCAGAACCAATACTGTATAGCATTCCTTAAAGTATCYGCATAGTATTTTCATAAGTAGGCTTTTGTTGCCTTGTTCTATACCAATGTTGAAGTCTAAGACAGAGATTAAGTGTGAAGCTCTATTTAAGCGAAATTTGACACAAATGTCTCCCTTTGAGAGGAGTTAATGGAGACAAAACCCATGGCAGGATTCAGACAGACAGTATTCTTCTTTCTCATCTCTTTTATTTATTTATTTGTGGCCACTGAGCTTGTGTTTTACCCTCCTGGGTAAATTCTTGAATGCCCTCCTGGTAAAATTCTTGAATGAACTCCATGGATGAAATTCTGGCTTTGCTGAGGTTGATGCTGAAATCTGCATTGACATAGATTATGCAGGAAATAGAAGGGGAGGGATAGCRGCTTAAAAATACATTACAAAATTACTGTGTGCATTTTTAGCTTTCTCTGTTGTGCCCTTCTATTTTTGTTTAGTGGGTGTTGAAAGCAAGTGATACTTTAATGCACAGTTGATTTGAGCGTGAAATGTTCTTGATAGCTGCATTCTTGCTGGAAGGAACAGGACAATGACCTATGCTTGATGACATAACCATGTGTTTCACATTCCAAAATCTGGTCTTAAACTGCATGATTGTATTCTATTTATAGAAACTCCCAAGTACAGTACTGACCATGCTTTCAGTAAACTTGGTGGAAATTTTTACATCAAGTTAAGTATTATGTAGATATGATTTAAATAAAAGTACAGTACCTTATCACAGTGGTGCAATTTTTATAGCCCTTAAAAGGCAGAAGTATGTAAGAATTTTTTTCCCTTCTCTGTGTTTCTGCTAGAGGGTTATTTGGTACCACTGCATTCCAGAGCAAATACTTTTTTTTCCAGTATTACTCATGGTKATTCTTTCCTAATTAAAAAAAAAAATCACTTAAGCAGTTAGCACTTCTTGTTTGAGGTCAGATCATACATGAAGTGTCTGTGTCTGAACTGTCTCTGTCTTGAAGAGATGACAATGTCATCCTTTTTCCTTTTTCCTTCTAGTCTGGTCTCGTTCTGTCACTGAGGCTCTGGCCRTCAGTATCCTGTGAAAGGAATTTTCCTGGGAAATAGCTGAAAATAGRAGAGCTGTTTTTGCTATCATCAGGCATTGGTTTGAAATAATTTTTCTAGACAAATCAAAACCTGAATTCTTCCAAAGATATGTTGCATATGTGATATGACTGCATGATGTAGCAATGTGGATTTACTTGGAATGCAAAAGGCCTGCTCATCTCTTCAGCAGTTTCCTATGCAAAGTACAAGCTCAAAGATACCCCGTTCAGCTTTGYCCTTATAGAAGTTTGGTTCCACATAAAATCGTGTTAAGAAATGTCATTGACACTAAACTTCATTGTTTGTCTTTCCTTGTTGACCTGGATTCTAAATTACTTGTAAATGGCAATTATTTTTAAAGTCTTGGAATTATGAAGAAGGAGTAACTTCATTTAAGACAGGGGTGAAGTAAAGTAAAAGCCATATAAGATTTTATTCCTGGGTAAGAACTGTTTAAGGTGAAAAAGCCTTTTGAAAAATAGGAAATTAAGAAGTTACAGTCTAGGACTGCAGTGAAGCTGGACCTTACCCAGTCTTGCTTTKGGTTTATAAGTATTGCTGAGCAGTAATAGTAACAAAAAAATGTTAGTATTTCTCATGTTCATTATATAAACAGGTCAAGAAATGTGATACTTATCTCAGTATTTTAGTATAATCGTGCCTGTGACACACAAAGGCTGAGGACATTAGGGTGATTGGGAGTTGTGACTGAATATTCAACAGTAATCTTACTCAATTTAGTTTGRCATATGACTTTGTTAAGTCAGACTTCCCTATGTCTTGACAAAATGCATGATGCCAGTGATTACTTTCTGCAGTAAAAAAGAGGCATTTGGATTAGCAGAGTTGCCATCCTAACAGTTGTCAAACTTAGAATCATTTTGAAGTCCATGACTTGAAACTGCCCTCTGTAAAAAAATTATTGTATTTGTACCTGGAGTGATGGTTCTCACTRTCTTTGTTCCATTCTCATATAGTCTCATTCTGTGAATTAAATSTATGTTCTTGATAAAGTAGCTTAAACTACAAATCAGATTTCTGAAGACCAGKTGATGTATCAGATATAGTTTTTCATTCCAGATGCAAAACTGTTGAAAATACACAAGTCTTAGAGAGGCTTTGTCAGGCATGCTGGAGTCAGAAGGAGAACACAGTTTTAAGTGTTACCATTTGAGGCTGAAAGTGCTTTTGAATATGGAATGCAGGTGTTGGAAGTCAAGGGAGACTGCGGTGCTGAAGTACCCTCAAGTGTGTGTGTTTGCTGTGCTTAATTAGGAATGAGTAAAACACACAACCACACTTAGCTCTTTCAGTAGTTAATGATGTATCCCAACACTAAATAATCCAAATAAGTTCTTTCATGTTTGCAAATGCTGTTTCTTCTGCTTGGGTTTGTTTTTCTGTTGTTTTTTTGTTTTTGTTTTTTTTTTCTTTAATATTTACTGCCATTACAGTTAGAAGGCCTGAGTTAGAAAACTTGGGAAAGAAATAAAAAGTACTTCATTAGTCATAATTTTTAGCTCCCTATTATCTCCCACCATATGATACCCCTTTGGTACCCCTTTGGTACCTATGTCTAAGGATTTCCTGTAATGAGAGGGAAGGTATTTTAACAAAGCAGGAAAATTCCAGAAGCATTTTGTTTCATAAAGGGTTGTGCTGTTTGCATGATGCAAAACTCTATGAAAGAGTGCCAGGTAGCACAGGAAAAAAAGAAGAAAATTAATTTTTAGTCATCCAGAAAGGATGATGTGTASTTGTAAAAGCCCAGATTTCACAGATAAAGCATCCCTTTGGAGCTTTGCTCTTTGTGTCTCACTGAAGAACACTGTCTCTCTATTCTTCTGTCAGATTTCCATTAAATTTGCTGAACTTYCACTGACTGGAGAGCAGGTGAGACATGCATTCACTGTGCATGTGCCTATCTGTGAACTGCAGGGTGTGTTGTGTAGCCCTTTTTGCTCCTTGTGAATTTGCAGAGGATGTACCAACAGACTTCTGCCTTGGTTCTTTTTATTTCTTTAAAGATAAAATTAGTAGACAGGAATAATATTTTCAGACTTCAGTCTATTTAGAAAATGTCAGTGGTGCCAGCCACAAAATGTAACTTTGATTCCCAGGCTTTTAATTCCCAGACTGGAAGTAAGCATGCAGTCCCAGACAGGGAAGCTGGAAGTGTGGGTAGTCCTGGGAATGGAATCCCTTCAAACAGATACTGCTGTTGACTGGTTCCAAACAAAGTCATTTCTGTGTACAGACAGGACTGTGAATTCTTAACACACAGATATAGCAGAGGTAGATTCAGGAGCTGCAGCATTGTACAATAACTGAGGCATCCTATAAGATGGAATGTTAGTGCTGTACTCAGAGCTGTAGCTCACTGTTAGTGAATGTTTATAACACAAATATATCCCATTTGCAAGCCATACCTCACTGGATACAGGCACACAACAGATAAGAAAGCACATACCCTAATAAGGAGAAACTACACTGCATTTTTAAAACAGCTCAAGAYGGGTTGGAATGTGGTGCTTAATTGAATAAAAGCAAGAGAATTGCTTTGTTCTCTTATGTTGTTTTACAATAAATTCTTTAAAAACAAATTCTTTCCATTTGTGGATGATAAAGAGTTATTAAAATGATGGCATTACCATAATTTCAGCATTCTKGCTCTCCCTGGCCCCATTCTCCAGCAAGAACTTTACAAGGATAACAGTGTTGATGTGATGTTCTCAAACAGTTCTGTCAGGAAAGGAAAAGTTTTCTGCCTTTTGTTTCAAAACATAAAATGTTAAACTATGTGAGGACCYTTGTGTGATAAAATACCTCAGCAGTGTAGTATTAGTTTTAATTTTCTGGGTTTTTATATATTTTTTTTTCTTAAGGCTGACATATTTTCCTCAATTCCACAAAGAGCTTGTGCTGTTACCATGCTTGCATCTGTTCCTTTTGTTCTAATGGCCATCCAGTAAAAATAGTTGTGTTAAAATTTATGACAGTTTTGGAGCTCTTTACTTATTTTTACTGCCTTGTTCTCTAGTTGAAAAAGAGATCTTCTCTCTATCAATCTTACATTTTCAGTAAAATTTGAATTTAATATTGATACTTCTTTCTCACATTTGATGTGTGCAGAATTAGAATAAGAAGGCTTTTCAATTTTTCAGCTTATAACTGTCATAAGAGAATTTTCAGTGTGTAGTATTAGAGAATTGGCTAGATGAACAGATTTTTCAACAGTGCTCAGTTCAATTCTTACTCCTTCATTTAATTGATGRATAAAGTGAATATTAAATATTTAACAAAACTTTCTGAGATCACTCAGAATCAATTGCATAGCATAGCAAGATAAAAAAGCTCACTTTCTGAATAGACCAGTGATTTCAACAGTTTTCATTCTGGGGTRCTTAGAATAGTAACATCTGAAAAGTGCAAGATATGCATAATGGAARTATAAAATCCTGAAGCTGAGCAGTTACTAAATAGGAAGTAGTGAAATGATTTCATAATTTCTATCCTTAATTTAAATCTCTTAGAAACAAGTTCTAATCAAAAAGTGATCCCTTGTGGCAGGGAAGTGTTGTTCTGGTTCTTTTACTGGAGTTTTTCTGGYTTTGTCAGAACTTTGGTAGCATTTCTGGTGATTTATAAAATGTGTAGTTTGCAACTYATTTTGCAAGCCTTTTTTACTCAAGAAAAAGCTTTTAGGTACTTTGGAAGCTTGACTTTTATTTTTGGAGCTCTAGTTTATGTAAAAACATGAAGCCACTTGGAAGTGCAGAAAAAAGTCACCAGAGTTATTTGATAAYAGTCTTGGAAACTTATATATTGGTCCAAGAAACAGAAAAAACTGAAGATAAACTGTGTTAAAGTCATGCCAGTACTGTCCTGAAGAGAGCTYACAGTATAATGAAATTAATTCTGGAATCAGAAGGATGCCTTTTTTCCACTCTGGTGGTGTGTAGAGTAGAAAAGATGTAGGATTAGAAGAAAACCAGCAGGATCTCATTTGGGGGAATGCTGGTAATTTCATTTTTTGGACTAACTTGTTGAATTCAAAATGCTTGCAAGAATTTTGCATAACATTGTTTTTATTTTGGAACTCCAAAATATTTTTGGGGGAGAAGGAAGATTACCCACGAGATTGTTTTCAGGAACAGCTATGAGATGCACAATGCTTTATAAGTTCATGTGAATCAAAAGTTTCTGTGACCATTTGAAGATACTATTTTTCTGTTAAGTAGCTAATGGTTATTCCAATACCTAATAGATTTATTTAGGAAAAACATKTTAATGTTGTCTATAACTACATAGGACAGTGTTAGATAATACCGTCCCTATTTTAATGTAGTTTTTGAATGTCAACTTTCTGTTTCTTCAGATTTTCAAAAAAGACTAAGATAAGTAAATTTCTTTTGCTTTTGGGTTGTTGGGAATTTTTTTCATTGTCTTTCACAACCTGCCTCCATGCATTTTTTRCTGCTATAATGTGATACATTCAAAKCTCTAGAGTACATGTATGTTCTTCAGTTTCCACTTGTATGGTCGTAGTTGTGAAGTGTTATCTGGGCAAGCTTTGTGTGATTTATAGATCTGGATTGCTGAACAATAATTGGTACTGCCCTCATTATTTCTTTGAAAACCTGTAAACAACTGCCAATAGTTTCTTGGAATATCTAATTTTGTCACTAGTATAGTAAAAAAATCAAGATTACATCCCCCAAAACTATGCTTAGCAAAGATAGGTACTTGTAGGCTGCTATGAGTCAAAAAATACCAGCTGAAACAGACACAATAGTAGAATATTGCAAAGAGCAAATCCCACTTGAAACATTTGTTTTATCAGGTAAGGATGTTAAAACCACAATTTTTACACCCCTGGGAATAAAATAGCAAGAAGAAAAGAAGAAAAATAGCAAGTTTTGCTAGATGCTCTGTTTTTTGTTTTGTTTTTTTTTTTTGCTAATGGAGAAGATGAGTAGGGGAGGACGGCAGAAATTGTTTGATGATTCGTTTTATAAAACATTTCCAAAGTGGGGTTTTTTTCATCTGTTTTTCTTGTGTCCCTTTCTAAAAGTTTCAGGAACGCAGGAAGATGATGTGTTATGGATAGCWATGGCAGGCACTCATCAGATATGGGCACTGATGTTGGAAGGTGGAAAACTACCAAAGGGAAGGTAAGCATCTGTACTAAGAGAAATGTGAAATTGCTGCTTGTCTTGCTAAACAGCTTTCAAACCCCAAAGAGAGATAATCAAATTAAACTGAAAATAACTTAGTTTAAAGGCTTTTGTGCTTAAAAGTCTGACTGCTTTTTCCCACATCTGTTAGATGAAATGAAAGATGCTACTTTTGCTATACAGCTATGACTTGTTAAGGTACATTCATATCATTGAATGTTACTTTTCCTTGCATTTGCTGAGTTATCTAGTAATAAAAGATGTTCTGAGGTGACATAAAAGTAAGCACAAAGGCATTGGGTAATTCCTTGTGCTGCATTACAGTTGGTTTTATAACTCACAAGTGCCTGTTCTGTAGCTTCTGTTTATGCATAATGTCTGAARTATTTCAAGCTCAATATTGAAATKGAGTGGTRTTTGCATTTAGTGACTTAAAGAAAGGAGTCTGCCTTCGTTTTGCTGGGAGTGGAAATGAGGAGAACAGGAACAACGCTTACCCCCACAAGGCAGGGTTTGCCCAGCCCTCGGGGCTCTCCCTGGCGCCCGAGGAGCCCTGGAACTGCCTGTTCGTGGCCGACAGCGAGAGCAGCACCGTGCGAACCATCTCCCTCAAGGACGGGGCAGTGAAGCACCTTGTAGGAGGAGAGAGAGACCCATTGGTAATCACTTCAAACTTCCCCACACTGCCCTACTAATATTCCTCAAGCCTGACCTGGAGGAACCACTTTTGGGGTGAGAGGGTAAATCAGTTTCCATGGCCATCAATTTCTTAACTTCACTGCTTGAAATGCAAATGTGTGGCAGTTGTGATGCTCAGGTTGTAGTGCAGAATGTTGCTCCTTAGATAAGAAATTATTTCACTTACTCTTAGAATAGCCAATTTGATTCAGCATTGTGTGGTCATTAAATCAGCTGAATTCACATTTATAACTTAGATGTGAGATTTTCCATTTCTGTGGTTAGCATCCACACTTCTCAGGTTTCAGTTCCCTTGTTTTGAAATTGTCTTGATTTTTATTTTTTTCAGCCCATGAATTTCCATTTAATTACAGTCATTGAAATTCATGTTCACATTGACTAATCAAATGTATTAAYTAAATAAAATAATTTTTCAGAATTTGTTTGCCTTTGGTGATGTGGATGGAGCAGGCATAAATGCAAAGCTGCAGCATCCTTTAGGAGTAACATGGGACAAGAARAGAAAGCTGCTGTATGTGGCTGATTCCTATAATCATAAGGTAAGTGTGCAGTAACTTGTTRTATACAAACTTGGAAATTTGTGTTACTACAAAGAATTATTTTAGTAATGYACAAAGATTGTGCTTGGTTCTGTTAAGCTGAGGAAATGAATTATATGAGTTCCTCAGTGGGTTCTTTTTCTTTCTTTCTTTCCTTCCTTCCTTCCTTCCCATATGGGTCCTTCTCTTAACCATTGTTTTGCTGTCCCATTCTTCAGTGTTGATATGATGGTCTCTTGGGGAAGGTGAATTTAAAGTGTCAAGTTACTGKTCAAACTAAAGATTTTCCATGTACTTTCCCAGAGACATTGAACTACACTAAAAGATCTGGGAGGGCTTAGTCAGGGAAATACAGCAGGTTTGATAAAACCGAGAGGACAAGAGGACTTGTTTTTCCCTTAAAAAAGCCATGTAAGTTTTAAGAAGATTGGGGATTGCCTCCATAGAACTCTGAGATGAGATRTTGTTTTGCATGATTGTTCTTACGTGATGTTATAAAAGCATTCATGTTTAGAAGGTTTTTAACTGTACACTGACTACATGCATTAAAAGAGAAGTGATCTGTTTGTTTGGAAGAGTAAAGGTATATAACACTAAAGGCTAATTGATATTTTAAGGCAAATGATATTTTGTTTCAGATCTTGTATAAAACATRAACTTTTTTGCTATTACTTTAAAAAAAAGACACTTATTTGTAGAAGAAAAATAATCTAGAAGCTGGCCTGCCAATTTTGTTATGCTCTCACTGTTTGGCAAATGTTTCTAGAAAGCCAGCAAACATTAGAAAAACAAGTCATCCAGCATGTACTTTTATAGCAGAGGAGTAGGTATCTTCAAAATTATGGAAGGGAGCCCTGAATGAAGGCCAAAGGAAGAAGTAAAATCCTTGAGGGAGTGGGGAGAGGGAAAGATGGGACATGTCACTTGGTAAAGAGTGATAACACAGCATTCAGGATGCACACCTGGTAGCTGAGGTGCTTAAAAAGCAGTGCTGGCTACTGGAAATGTAGGACATAAGGTAATACAGAACATCTAAATMCTGCTGGGTTTTTTCAGAGAAGCTTTTTTTTTCTTTGTTTATCTTAGATTAAGGTTGTGGATCCCAAGATGAAGAACTGTGCTACTCTGGCAGGCACAGGAGAAGCAAGCAATGTTGTTGGTTCCACCTTTACACAGTCAGCTTTTAATGAACCAGGAGGTTTGTGTGTTGAAGAGAACGGCCGCCTGATGTATGTTGCAGACACAAATAATCACCAGATTAAAGTGCTGGATTTGGAAACAAAAATTCTTTCCATGGCAAGTAATACTTRTTAAACAGGCTGATAGTGGTGTTTCTTGATATAAATTACAATTACAGACTTCAGCAAGTGTTATAAAAATGATAGCTTCAGGTACAGTAGCTATATTCACAGGATGTTTTGTGATACTCAGGGAAATAAACATTGCCTGTTGGCACAGTTGTTGAAAGCCTCAGTCTTCAGAAAGACAACTTTTGCATAAAACAGAAAGCGACACCCTTCTAGAAAAGATAAATGCAGAAATGTGAGTTATTACAATGTACAGTGCAGTTTTTCAGCATAAAAAGCATTTCATGAACACTATAAAAATTATTTATGACATCATAATGGTCCTAATGTCTTCTCGTATGTTTCTTGCATTTGATAGTATGCAGTCTTCATGCATGTTTAAATTTTCAAATCGTATAGCATGTTGGTGGCATTTCTGGGAAATTCTCCTTTATTTTACTGTGCAATGTGCATAGGTAAAATCCTGGAATTTATTACTAAAACGTGCAGTTTACTACTGGGTTATAAGGAAATACATTTTAATTTTATTTAAAGTMAAAATTTCATCCAACTGTAAAAATTTTAAATTAAGGGATACTGTTAAGTAGCTGTGGGTTTTATGGTTTTAATAGTAAATATTGCTTTTATTTTAATTAATCATATTTTTCATTTTAAGAAAACATTTTGTCCTTCCGCTTTTCTTTTTTATAGTATTKTTGCACTCTGTCAGAGAGTTTTAGGCCAATAGCCATAATACATCACTTTGAAACTGTGATTGTGTTGTCAAAGCCCATTTGTTTTCAGTACTAATAAAAATTAATATTTTGTTTTATTTCTACTGRTAGTTGCCTATCCTGAAGCCAGAAGCATGTGATGTTCCAGATAACCTGCCTGTGCAAAAGGATAAAATAAGAAACCTTCCAAGGCTGCCTAAATCTGCACCAAATATTCAACTTCCTTCACTAACYATAGCTCCTGGCCAGACAATTCAGTTTTTATTAAAGTTGACTCTTCCTCCGGATTCAAAACTGAATGAAGAAGCTCCCAGTGCCTGGTTTATCACAGCAGAAGGTAAAGTCCCTGAAGGTTAAGATGGGAAGTGGGTTGTATCAGCACATCCTGCAGAGTGGGATGAATCAAGACATCCCTCCCTGTCCTGTGTTCCTGTTTGACCTTGTGATGCAATACATGATATTTAGAGTTGATGCATTCAACAGCTGGAGTGCGAAGGTTGAAAAAAGCCTAACACCTGGTAGACTGCTTTTTGCTTGAATTAATACATGCTGCATTATTTTATGGTTCAATGCAATGAGTTAGGTGYATTTAGTGTGCAGGTCATTTTTCAATTCACATACTTCCAATATTTAAATAAAAGGGAAACTCAAGCTCCATTCTAACAGTCAGCCTGAGCATTGCTAAGTTGCACCAACCCCCCTATAAGASCAATACTGGTGTTTGAAAATGCCATCATTTAACTGCAGTTTTGTGTATTTATGGCAGATATCTTAGCTGGTGTGTTAGATCTCTGATACAAATGTATGGTAGCTGTTAATTTAAGAAGCTTTGCTTGTGCATATCAAAATAAATTTCAATATCCTTTAAAGAGTATATAGGAGAAATTGTAGTTCCATTGCATTTCAATAATGTGTGCTGTATTTATGTACCTGAAGTGCTAATGCAAAGCTGTGGAACTCTCCATCTTTAAATGACGGATAAATAAAAAAAAACATTTGTAAATTACTTTCTTTTTTTGTTCACAACTGGAAAAGTCACAAAGGAAATTTCCTCTAATACTGCATGTGGAAAGTCCTTGTTGTCCTTCCTAAAGGTAGAATTAGTGTTTTCTGTAGATTTCAGACATTGTGTTAAATACCCTAATGATAAAATCTGTTCTTTTGCAGATAATGCCTGGTTGCTTCAAGGACAGTGCCTGACAGGAGAAATAAAGGATGTTTCCTGTCACACTGTCATTCCCTTTCAGTTGCCTGGAAGCTGTGTGTCAGCTGAAGCCACCCTGGCCATCAAAGCGTGCCTCTACTACTGCAGCAAAGGTAGCAGTGCCTGTATGATGGCAGGAGTCTCGTTCAGCCAGCCCTTGCAGGTCACTGGCACAAACCAAGGCAGCTYTGCACAAGTGGAACTGATACACACCTTTGTAACCAACTAACACAAAGCCAGCTGATTTCACACATTATTTTGCTATCCACCATTTCTGTTGGGGCATGTACACATAGAAAACTTCTCTTTGTTTTTTCCTGGAGCTTATGACAAAGCTAAGAAATAATATGCCTGGTAAAATGAAGTAGTTTTCCCTACAGCCTAACAGGAAAATTTATCACCACCTCATTTCTTTGCATTACAGTAGCAGCAATAACTTTGTAATACAGACTCTGTTGCCAATTGCGAACATACTGGATGTCTGCCAGTCTTAAGAAATGAGCAACGATTTTTAGAGTCCTTTGGAAAGAGCTGGTGTTACCTTGTGATGTTGCTGTAAGATCTTTGCACTGTAAGTATTGTTAGAGTAGATCATTTTGGACTAACACTTTTGTGCCCTTATTACATTTTAATAGAATGTCAGAAGGAAGTTTCTTTCTCCAGTCTGTAAAAGAAGTATCTTGCTTATTTTTCTGTAATGACACTTATGACACATGAATTTTGAAAATACATCTTAAACTAGGTGCAGCTCTAGTTTTATGCAAACTGAGTATTTTGCTTTAACTMAACATGACCGCCTTATATGAAGAGCAAAGGTTCATGGAAAAATTTCTGTGAAAGGAAGCATTCAAGTTCCTGCAGAAGAATTTCATGCTGATTTTTAACAAAGAATGTGCCTCTCTGCAATGTATATAAATATATATATATATATATTTATAAAAAACACCACAAAGCCATGCTGGAGCTTTTCTGATGCATACCAATTTACATTTTATAGAAAGTGGTAGATAATGGTTGAATATCARCACTGCAAAAATTAAATGTCAACCATTTCAAGCAGGGTGATTCACTCCCWTTTTTATGATTTTTCTGCAAAGACTTGTCTGAAGACTTCTGTCTTGCATAAACATGATATTATGGARAATATTACACTCTTGAAGTCTGATTCAGAGTCTTTTGAAGTCACTGTAAGTCCTTGGATTTATAATAGCGGCCACGGAACCAGAATTGCGTATTTGATAATGGATTATTTACGTTCATGTTTAGAGGTTCTGATCTTACCAGAACACTGGTAAACTAATCTTTGAGTAAGATGCTTTAAAACTCCATTGCAAAACTCTGCCCTTGGTGGTKAAGTGTTTTGCAAGTAAAATTCCCTCAACTTGCTTCAGTAAGTGGGGGTGGGCTGATGGTGGTGGTGCAAGTTTATTACTTGAACTGGAAGAGTTTCCACCACACTTGAATGGTAATTGGGTCAGGCTCTGTGCTGTGGTCATGATGATCAGTGCTGAGAAGATTATTTTGTTTTAAGTCAGAGGATAGTRTTTTCACATATAAAGTGCAGTAATGAAATTACACTACCACTTGTTGTTGCTTTTTCTAACTTAAAGGCTGACTGAAATGTTGGTCATGAACCCAAGAGGCTTTTGTTCTAAGGGAACCATATGGACTGGTGTGGTTTTTCCTTCCATTGAAATGCCAGTCTATCTGARAGTTCTTTGTGGCACCAGAAATAGTTGTTATCTCACCTGTCAGCGAGGCAAGGGCTGAACTGTTATTTTTCTTATGTTTGGTCTTAAAACAACTTTTCTAATTCAGTGTTTCAGCTCCTTTGGGTAGGCCTCTCAATTCTCCCATGCCATTTTGAAGAATGGAAAAGCTTTGCTACTTTGTTCACAGATGGCAAATGCTGTTACAAGGATGAAGATAAAGAAACTGATTCAGGCATTTATTATTTTTTACACTTTAGTAAAACTCAGTCTTCTGTGATTTTTTGTTGATCAGTTTATCTTTGGATAGTGGCCAGGAAAGCTTCAATCAGCTTCTAGATAGCCTGCAGATTTTCTGTTGCTCTCTGAAGAAAACAAGCATTGGATTCAAAAGTTCAGCATAATGAACTAAGCTCTTTGAGTTATCTTGAATGTGTAATTCATCAGATGGATCTTTTTTCTCTCATTTTGTCCCATCAGAGRATGGTTTAGGTTGGAAGGGGCCTGASAGACCATGTAGTTCCACCCCCYTGCCATGGGCAGGACACTTTCCCACCTAGAACAGGTTACTCAAAGCCCCCTCCAGCCTGACTTTGAGCACTTCCAGAGATGGGGMAGCCACAGCKTCTCTGGGCARCCTGTGCCAGGGCCTTACAACCCTCACAGGAAAGAATTTCTTCCTAGTATCGAATCTAAATCTTCCTTTTTTCAGTTTGAAACCATTCTCCTTATTCTATCCCTAGATGTTCAAGTCAAAAGTCTCTGTCCATCTCTCTTGTAGCTCCTTAAGGTACGGGAAGGKGCTGTAAGGTCYTCCCAGTCTTCTCCAGGCCGAACAAYCCCAACTCAAATTTTCAGYTAGAATCACATTATGTTTTTTCAATTGGATCAAGTCATTGAATTCTGCTTGTATTCCAGTACTAGGAAAAAAAAAATCAAAAATCAGGTTTTCTTATTGACACTTTCAATTAACGTATTGCTGTAGGGGAAAGAGTGTATTCCTCACTTTATTTCACTATAGTGTATCATGTTTAATTACAATACTGTAGTTATATTTTCTGTCTAAATGTTCTCTCTTTGCCCAGTCTGTGTGTTCACTGTGATTGGCTTTTAATCATATAGTCTAAGTTTTGTTTGTCCAAGCAAAAATATTGCCAGTCACTCCTTCTTGTTTCACTTGTAGTGTACAGATATTCAAATGTTCTGGGATTAGAAAAGCACAGATTTTTTTAGAGCTTATGATATTTAGGGATACTATTTCCATTTTTCCCTCCAGGGTTTACAAGATGCTCTTACAGTAAAGCAACAAGTGCCATAAATTTCACCAGACAGTAAAGAGGATAGCATGTACAAGCTACAGAAAATTATTTAGGTACCAGAAAGCATCTTCCAAATAYGATGCAGAAAAATAAGTAATATTACTATTCTGTCTGAATACTGAAAAATTGGATATATTAATGACTGCTAYCTCTTTGTATGGGAACTTAGTTTTTTGGTGTTTCCTGCTATAAAAATTCTAAACTGATTGAAATGGCTCAGCACTCTCAGATTTGTATCTTACAGTAAAAATATGTAATTCAAGTTCTTTTCCARTCATGCCTTTCTACTGACTTTAACAGGTTTTGCATCAGACCTTAAAAAATCATTAAATGACTACAGTAAGTCTCTAAAGWGTATTGGTCATGGTTGATTTGTATAATGGAAACAAGTTCAGTGGCATTTTAAGTTTTTAGTTGTAGTGTTTGCATTTCTGAGACAGCTTTTGGTTTTGAATGGATGTATTAATAGTTCCATGAGATGTTTGTAGTAATTTTATTTAATTGCAGTGTAGTATTTTTATTAGACTWGGAAAAAGATAATGTGGTTTCAAAGAGGGAGCATAATTTGTTTTAATAGCTCTTTCATGTTGTTTGAATTCTGTAGTACCTTTCTGTGGTTTGTTCCCTTCTGTTGAAGGAAGGGTAGGGATGATGACTGTGTAAACCTATTGATGGGCACATATTTTATGCATATATTCTTATTTGATTTCTCCTTGTGTTAGAGTATTACATCTTGTYATTTTTGGCTTTTCTGTTGGATGCAGTTTGTGTTAGGCCTTTCATATATTCCAGCTGTAGAGCATTATGTTTGTATGATGCTGTGGTAGTGTGGTACCAAGCAAGTACAGACCAGATGAGTGATACATGAGAAAGTAGWTTTTTAGCATCAGGTAAAAAAAAAAAGCCTTATCTGCTTACCCTGAGAAAAGGTGCATATGGCTTCTRGTATATTGTATATATTCTTAATGCACTGATTTTATTTCAGTAGGAAAACATTGTAGGTGAAACCATGGGTGAAACTGCTTTGTTGAGAGAACATCAAGAAAAATATATTCCTTACCTCTTGCTCAGAGGAGGGGGATAATGGAAATTAGGAGACTTTCCTTTTTATGTAGAGGCACATCCTTTCGTTTCTTTAATTATTGACTATTTATTTTAACAAAGAGGCATTACTGACAACAAATTGTCTTGAATTTTTGATTCCTAACAAGTTTTTTACATACGTGAAAGCTTTAAATGTCTGACATTGTTGCRTTATGAGTGATAGATCTAGTTTGAAAAGTTTTATAGTTTAGCAGACAATAGCAGAGATTTATGTACATTCTTWAGAGCTGTAATTTTTTTAAATCACTGGTATTCATTAACATTTACCTCAAAGACACGCTGAGGCTACACTCCCACAGAAGTGTGAGTTTTGCAGCTCAAAATTAAGTTTTCTTTGTTGTAGAGTGTGTGAGATGTGCTGTGACACATTGTGTTCTTCAGGCTGCAGTTGTGCTACTTGAGGAGAATTTTCCATGCACAACAACCACCCCTCAGTAACTCTCACTCAAATCTGCCAGGCCACTTGCTTATATAATCAATTAATATTTCTGATTTATGTTAGAGAGTATTTAGAGTTTATCATTAYAATTTTGACTGAAGTTGGTTTGTCAGGGATTAGAGGATCTTCTCTGTYCCAAGCAAAGAAAGTATAAGAATGGTGACAAGTAGCTGGAGATAATTGTTGAAAATGCGAGACCTGGTTATTTTCAAATTAAAATACAACATCTGTYTTTGTAGTCAGCAACAGATCATTAATTTAGAAACAGTATTTTTAATATTTTACATTCCATTATGTTCATTTAAGCAAATTTGACCACTGTCAAATTAGAAGCAGCTGATCTATATTTTATAGTTTTTGTACTCCAATAGATAAAGTCACTCCTCTTATTTAGGATTAGGATTCATTCCTGTTCAGGATTCAGCACACCTATGAYTGAGTTTGCAAGTTTATTTTAGTTTCTTTGTCATACAATTATAGGGGATTTTGATTAGGTTTTTGGTCTGTCCTTTCCGCCTGTAGTTTCCTCAGTGAAATACAGTCTGTATCTTGTTACCATGGGGGGATTCAAGTAGGAAGGGTAATTCCCTCCACCAGCTTCTTGTCCCCTCCCTTGCTTCAAGGATGGGGATGTAAACAGCAAGTAATTCTAGATAGCGTTAGAGTAAGATGATGTCTTCAGGTCAGCTTCATCAMGCTTTGCACTGATGCAGCTACTGTCAGAATTTTTATCTTTGCCTCTGGCCCTGTCCAGTGAGGTCCTGAAGTTGTTTCTAGATGTCCCAGAGCATCCCATCAAACTTGAGTAGCCTGTGCAGGGATTCTGATGACTCTTGGTGTCAGGAAACTTATTGTAGAGATTAAATACTTCAGCTGCTATAGTTTAAATATTTTAGCTGTTATGTAATTTGCTGTCTTATTGCAGGTTGTTTAATTATTGTCAGGTAATGCACTCTTGCTGCAGATGAGAAGCTGGAAGCCTTGGGTGTGAGTTGAGGAATGTTTGTGTAGCTATAATTAAATATTGCTTGGTTTACCTCTTTGGTGGTCCATTGCTTTCAAGCGTACCAGGGAACTCTGTCCAATTGCAGAATCTAGGGCTAAGCAAAAGAATTGCAAGCATTTTCAAAGTCTTGTCTAGTTCCTTTGAAACACTGACAATTTTGAGCTAAAGAAATCCCGTTTGAAGAAAACCTGTTCATACATCTGCCTTAACTTAATGCTCTGTACTCAACATGCCTCAGAAGAGCAATATTCCACCCTGTATTCTTTCCCATTTTGACTAAGGCTTGAGAAATTCAACCCATCTGGCCATTGTCAGACTTCATAGAAAGCAAAACAGTGYTTCCCAATTTGATTTTA